GGAAGGTGCAAGGGATGAGAGAGCTGGAGTAGAGAGGAGAGATAGTGCACCGATTTAGGGATGGAAAAGGGGGGAGATAAATGATTCATAAAATGGGCGTTTGGATTCGCTAAATTGGATGGATAAAAACACTATATAGAGATTTGGATGGGTTAGGTGTGGTATATTCACTGTGATATTACCACATATTTGCATGGGAGAGACTATATGGTTAGGCGTCCTACGATGATTGTTTTAAGAAGGTTGGGATATAGGTAGCATAGCATAGCATAGTATAGCATAGCATAGCGAGGGTGTTTAGCGATTTGGAATTGGATTTGGATTTGGGATTTGATGTTTGATGTTTGATGTTTTTATGGTAGTTAGCATTTTGGCATTAGGAAGGAGTATATGAGATATTTCCTGGCTGTGTTGGAAATTTTGATATAAAGGGGTTAGTCATTAAGACCAATTTATTTGATTTTGATTTTTACTTTCATTGAATTGAATTGAATTGAATTGAATTGAATTTAGTCCAACTGAATTGATAACTTTGTTGATACATGTATCTGTATTTACTTATCTAAAGTACCTCGTACTTAATGATCCATCTATGAACTCAATATACTCGTATGGGAATAATAATTTTGGCGGGATGTGGACTTACCAATCATCTATTTTTCCCCACCCAACCATCCACTCAATTTGTGGATTAAAAAAATTAAAAAAATTCAACCCCACTCCTTCTTTCCTTTGCTTCCATTTCCACACTTACTTACTTACCCCTCCAAAAAAAACGCTCTTTCCCGAAACGTAAAAGATTCCATCGTTCCTTCCCAATCTGACACGGAAAAAAAAAAAGACTTAAAAGACTGATGAGAGTGGGATTCGAACCCACGCCTATTGCTAGACCAGGAGATTGTAAACAATCGCATTGTTAAGTGTTGAGTACCTTAACCTGGCGCCTTAGACCAACTCGGCCATCTCACCTTGTACTGGAAGGGTACGATTTTGTTGGGGGAGGGAGGGGAGGAAGGACTATATTTGAGGTGGAGGAGGGTGGAAGGGGGATAGATGGGGGGAGTTGGGGGGAGTTGGGGGGAGAGGAGATTGGGGGATGGAGGGGGAGTGGAGAGGGGATTGAGAGAGGATGAGGATGATAGGTAGGTACTGGGTAGTTAGTGGGTATAGAGAAGAAGCGAAAGGAAAAGAGAAGAGGAGTCTAGCTCAACACAATACAATACAATGCAATACAATATAACACAACACAACACAACATAATTCACATGTAATCTTACATACAATATAGTCAAGGGAATCTCAGAAAACTAAGCCTTTTTGAGAAATGCATACATATAGAGATACATATATATATACATCCATACTTAAAGAGATATATTCATACATATCATTTACTACACGCATTCTAATACTCTATCTAGATAGATCTATGATATTATTTTATCTATTTTCTGTTTTCTGTGGTGATAGGGTATAGGGTGTAGGGTGTAGAGGCTTAGGTGTTTGGAGGTTTGGAGAGATCTATATGAGGTGTGAGGATTTGTGTTTGTTTGGTTGGTTGATTGGTTGTTTATAGTGATTGGGTTGGGGTTGGATTTGGATTTGGATTTGTGGGATATGGTATATGGTATATGATATGAAGTTGTTTGGATATAGAAGACTCGAGAAAATTCCGGGGGGGGGGGCTTATTGAGGGACTTGAGGATTTGTTCATTCCTTTTCGATTTGTTATGGAGGAGCTTGATGGGTAGCTTTTATATTTAGGGGCTAGTATGGGATTTTTGTGGTATGGTATTGTATTGCATTGTATTGCAATACAATATATCGTGAGATTGAGTATTCAGTGATACATTTAAGTAGAGGGGAATGAAGAGGAGAGGAGAATCGATATAGTTATCAATTTTCTGGGTCTGGCTACGAGTTTGAGGATGAGAGGATTTGATTTTTTTCATAACTTGGTTTGATTTAATTTGATTTAGTGATGCTTTGGGACGATTGTTTATTTCGAGGGTTTTATTTTGTTTGTTATTTCCTACTTGGAGTATTGAAGTATTGGAGTATCTCTCATACAGATTTGTGAGATCCGTCTCCACCTCCTTTGGAACTTGGAATATTCTACATATTTGCAACTTGACACTTGTAGAATATGGAAAGTTTAGAGATCTGCTTGTACTTATTACTTTCTTCAGATCTGTCTTCATAATCACATAGTGAAGCTTGATGGAGGTATCTCGGATGAAGTTTTCTCTCGAGTAATCTCGATAAATTATACTTTCAAGGAGATTTTTTTCTTCTTGGCTTGTTGGGATTTTCTATGATGATGAAACGTCGTTACGAGGGTTATTTGTGTGTCTATATAGTGGAAAAGGAGTGTTTCCTTTCTTGGTGCGTGGTTTCTGCTCAGATGATGTGGTAGTTGCGAGTTGAGTTTGTGTTTGTGAGTAGAGATATCAGATGCGTAGATGATATGGTATATATAAGTATGCTGTAAACTTAGAGCAAGTTGTAAAGTGGATTGAGGTGTGTGTGAATAGGATCTTTGGACGAGTATTCATGTTATTTTCTAATGCCATGTAGACTGAATGTATTGGGTGGTATGTAGTGTTTACTGTTGTAAAGTGTTTGAAATAGTGCATTATGTATAACAGCAAACTTGCAAGTCTGGAACTCGTAGAATTTGGTTTTGGTTAACATGGTTGTCGGTAATAGTACTGTCCTTCATTTGGACTGAGAACCAGAAATGATAGAAGATGTGGACTTTTGGTAACAAATATGATTTTGATAGATGAGCTATTGAGAGTATGTATTGGCTCTTTACTCGGAGATCGAGGTCATTGGGTAGTTCCCAAGTCAAAGCATCAGATTGAACCGAATTTATGGGTGAATATATAATTTTGGATGAAAGAGAAGTACACTGATTTGCAATACACAATTCTCTTCTCTCACCAATTCAACTACATAATTCAACAGCTTATACTCACCTACTCACTCACTCCTTTACACAGATATCTCCATATAAACAGTCAATACTCCCCCCCCCCTCCCTCGACCTCCATACTCGAATCCTCCATCCTCCACCCTCCAACTCGCCAAAAACTCCCCCTTCACCGCTTCTAAAATTCTTCACCCTTTACTTCCCCTTCACTCCATCCAAACCTCTCAATTTATTCACTCCCATCTATCTGGAACTTCTCACATCCACAGATCACGTTACACTCCCTCCCTCCCTCCCAAATCTTTTGTTGCACATCTCACATTTTCCAATCTCACGAGACTTTCTCAAATCCCGTTTTCTACCAATTTGAAAAGCTTCATTATTTTCTTCCGTACTGCTTGCCTTGCCTCAAATTGTAATGGGATGAGGAGATCGAGAAGTCGATTTCTTTTTTTTGGTTTGAGAATATAGATAGGCAGATATTTCTTGTATACATAGGTACCCAGCTATAATTATCGCGTTCACTCTTATATATCTTGTCCCTTTCACATTCCCACACTTCACTTCACTCTATTCCATTCTACCCAACCACATTGCTTCCTCAACAACCTAGGAGTTTTGTTGCATATCTCAAATTTTCTGATCTCGCGATAGTCCCCGATTTGAAGTCTTACTGCGATTTGAAAAGCTTCATTTTTTCCTGATTCTATTCATTCTTGAATCCTTATTATAAGCATAGAAAGAGATACTTTATTATAGGATGTATATCCGTCTACCCAAAGTTTTGATTTATTTATTCTTTGATTGTTCTACGTATTCACTCTATATATATCAACCCTCGTCATATTCACTCATTCGCTGCTCCATATCACCTCTCTGACAGTCAAGAAACTTTTGTTGCATATCTCATATTTCCAATCTCGCGATACTTGTAGAATTTGACGTCTTTCAGCAAACTGAAAGGCTTCATTTTCTCTACTTCAATCTATCTCCATAATCTCGAAATGGAGAGGAATACACAATTCATATTATCCTTCTCCTCAAAGTCCTGACTTCACACCCACATTCCCACCCTCAACCTCACTCTTCCTATATTCACTTTATTCGCTTCCCCACCATCACTTCCTAACAACCTGAGGGTTTTGTTGCACATCTCATATTTCCAAAATCTATACATGGTGTAAGAATCCTTACACGCATCATACACGGTGTAAGCGAGCTTACACGATGTATACACGACATAGTATCTGTACATCATGTAAACACTATATACTGGTTACGCATAACTGCACTAAGGCTTCTATACATTTTCTAATCTCGAATAAAGGGTGCGTTTGGTTCACTCTTTTAGAAAATTATTAGACCTCATTTATTTAGCAAATAATACATAATAATGCGTGTACCGAACGCGACATGTAGTGAAATTTCTATTTCGGACTTGTTATAATTCCAAATCTGAGATCTTATATCAATTTGAAAAGCTTCATTTCTTCCTCTTCCTTTTCTTTCGATACCCAGGTATCTTTGTCAGAAATTTGTTCAAGATGGAGGGATAGAAATTTGGAACATCCTATTCTACTAGTCAACTACCTAACTAAACTCATCAACATACCAATCAACCAATTAATCATATCACTTCACCTCCAATCCCCTACACTCCTAGATATTACTATCTTGATCTATCTTATTTTGCTTTGCTATATATTCAAACCCCCCATGAATCAACACCCAGCTCAATAACCAATCAGCCATTCCATCTATCTAATTCATTTATACAGCTATAATTATCTCCTCTTTAGATAGATATATAGATAGACCAAGTTATTTCGACTATAAGTTTACAAATAAGCGATATACATTGTATCTCCTCGCACTAAAGTACGAATCAGGTATACATCTAAACGCCTCTTTTAGATCAATTGAAATTTTAGGAATCGATTTCATGTATTTATTCATCCATGGATAACCTTATTCACTCCCTAATCAGAATATATAAGATCAAACAACCACCCCTCTCCATCTCTCCATCTCGTTATTTATTCATTTCTTTTATTTCCCAACCCAATCTCCTCTCAAAATCGTCAGAATACTAACTCTCCTTTATCTTTACTACCATCACCATTAGCTCCTCCAGCTTCACCATCACTATCATCAGCTTCACATTTAGCTCTAGTTTATACTCTATTTTTTCTTCTCCTTCTCCTCCTCCTCCCCCTTCTTCCTTATTTCTAAATAAAAAGATTCAAGACCTAAAGATATAAAGATATAAAGAAGGAGAAGAAGAAGAAGAATATATATACCACTTACCTAAATAGTACGTATAATAACGCTAAAAGACACAGCTATTCGCTCTTCTTATTCATACAACCCTATGCGATCTCACTCCATATATTCCCAATCTCAAATAGACCATCTTTCTTAAAAAACATCTATATAGTGATTCAAGAATTGAAAATGCCATGCCTGAATTGAAAATTCGCCTGCCTAGTCTTCCCATCCATCCATCCATTCATCCATCCACCCATCCTATTCATCCTTAATAATGTATATCCTGACCCCAAGTACAAGTACAAGCACAAGTACAATAACATCCTCAATCCTATTCCCAACTCCATTTCAAATCATCCTAACAGAGATCCTCGAACAATAAAAACCTGCCCATCTACACATCTATCTATCTATTACCGGCCATTACCACCTCCACCTCCCTCATACCAACATTCTCACTCTCTCATCCGACCTTTTAACACCACCAAAGCTTCACAGAGAATAAGATCCCCGTATCTACATTCTGCAAATTAAGCAAGAAAATTAATGTATGGCTCCACAACATTCACCAATATTAAAACCCTCTTTCTCAATCTCCAAAACAATATCCACCCCTATTACCGAAATATAGAAAAAATAAAGAAACTTTTAGCAACACAAGCAAATGTGAAAACACCACCAAATCGCGTAAAATGTCTGAAGAAATGGCTGAATAAAGAAGTAGGCAGCAACGAAAACTTGTAACCATTACATGCGGACCGGGTCCTCATCGTTACAAGCGCATTTCCATCTGCAAATGACCCTTCAACTTCATCACTGCGAATATTCCTCAAAAGGATCTGCAGATATTCATTCGCATCTGGAACAATATATTGATAATATTGAAGATTTTCCCATCACTTCCGAGTAAATCGATTGCCAAGATTAATCAATCTTTAGTATGTTCCTCATCCTTCTTTCCCATGCGACTCCAACGAGATTTTGCAAGTGGTGCTACCGCAACAGGTTCCTTTTGCGTAACCGGTGCTACTACAACAGGTTTTGGTACTTGTACTTCAACGATAGGAGCTTTGAGCGTAGGGGCCTCTCCCAATTTGCGCGTGGTACTTGTGTGTAATCTTTGTAAAATATCGTGGTTTTGAAAGATTACTGGTTGATGTTTGAAAGCATCACTTGGAAGAGGTCTGCGTGGTGTTCTGGCAGCAATTTCCAAACCTGACTCGCTGGAGGATGATGCAGAGGAGGGCGCTTTATCATTTACCGGACTGGTAGTTTGGGGTACAGCTTTGATTATGTTAGTATATTGTTTGATGTTAATAAGATCAGAGAAACAATTACCTCCACATTGAGCAACACTTGAGATAGGACTTATACCAACAGCAGAATCGGGAGCATTGGGAACTTGAGTTTTGATTGGGGGAAGAGCCGTGGATCGATTGACTGCTTCGAAGAATGATACATGTTCTATACGAGAATTCCATGTGGGATTATAGCCATCATAACTAGTGGCGCGGGTCATAGCAGGTGTGCCATCGGGAGTGGCATTTGCAGATGAAAAAGTACTGTGAGTACGACTGACAGTTCTCTGACTTCTCCGTCTATTGTGTTCTAAGATTTTGGGTCGATCTTCATGTTTCCAAGTTGGGGGTGCGCTGAAAAGTGCATCGACTGAAGCATGTGATGGAACATGTTTGTATGAAGCTTTGGCAGTTTCTTGTTCGTCTTTCTTTTTTTCCTCCTCGTCGGCGGTGACTTTTGCTTTGTTTTCTTCAATAGCCTTTTTGGTACGTTTAAGCCTTGAAAGTATTGGCATTTTGGGTGAGATGGATTTATATGTTGTGTTATTTAAGGGTATGTATGAAGTGAGAATCAAAGTGATATACAATGATTCAAGGTGATTTGATGTTGAGATACTTGAAAGTATTGAGAGGGATGAGATGAATGAGATTAATGAGATGAGACGAGGAGATTAGAGGAAGAGTAAGAAGAAGGAGAAGAAGAACAAGAACAAGAAGACAAAACAAAAAGTGTACAGAATCAAGAAAGCGAATATTTCAAAAACTAAAAAGCCGGTTCGAAAGAAGACTTTATTCACATACCTACCTAGTAGTATGTAACCTAAGCAAGATAGGTATACTAAATACAATACTAAATCCCACCTGCCATTTCTCTCTTCCACTTTCTCGTGATCATCTATCAATAATTCCTATAAATTCCACATCAGGTAACATTTAACATCCCGTCCACATTGATCACATCAAATTTTTTAATCTTGTGTGTGATTTAACTTTTCATCTGAGGATGATCGGGAATTTAACTTGTGTACTAAGGAGTTACTATTTTTAAATCGGGAATTTAGTACGGATGTGAAGCTTTCAAAATGCTTGAAGTGGTCTTGGTATTACCTTCTACTCGTCACCTCGTTAATGTTTCACATTGGGGGTTTTGGTATCAAGACTTATTAGGTAGATATATCTAATGAGAGGAAATCAATCTCTATTCGAATTTTCTTCACTCATTTTCCCCATCCATACTTCAACCCTCAGAAAGACGAGTATATCTACTGACCTACCTATTAGATTTCCAACCTCGCATATTCATAAAAGACGGAGGACAGGAGTAGAATATGGGGAAATACCCACACACGCACAGAGTTTAGCTCCATGAACATACCAAGTAATAATATGACAAACGTCTCCGAGAATTTAACACATAGAAAGCCATTTGTCTTCTCAACAACAGACTAACAAACAAGACCAAGACCAAGACTAAGACTAAGTCCAAGTCCACAATACAATCTAGATAACCTCATCAATATCAAACCTCAAATCTTGAACTCAAAATTCGAATCCATCAATCTGCTATCTACTATCTACACAATTTGATAGCTTGACGTGTGGATACCTCCTCTACTCTCCTCTCCTCCCCTCTACCTACCAAACCCATCTCATCTGATCTCATCTCTCTCCAACAATTTCAGCAATCCATCACATCACCATCACATCACCACCATATCCAATCAGCATCCCCAAAAATTTCCTCCCCCTCCCCCTCCCCCCCAAACTTTCAACATGGGAATTTTCCGGCGCAAAATGTGAAAATTTGATGCCGGTTTCATTGCACGCTCAAACCTTAAAATTTACGTGTCGCAGGGGATATACTAGATAAGGAGGTGTGGTATACGCATATAGATAGAAGTTGGTATATTTTCGAGATATGATATGATATGATATGATATGATATGATATGATGTGATGTGATGTGATGTGATGTGATGTGATATGATATGATATGATGTGATGTGATATGATATGCTACCCGTCTTCCCTCTCTTCCTACCCCCAACTAACACATCACATCACATCACAGACCACACTATCAAGTACCTAACTCCATTAGGTGGGTAATGCAAGAAAACAAAGAAAGAAAGAAAGAAAGAAATACGATGTGATGTGATGCGATGGATATGGAAATATCGAGGTTTTTTATTTATTTGGAAAGTGTCCTGTACAAGTATCCCGTGAAGGGGAGGGAGGGAGAGAGGAGTGATGATATCGCATGTGGTATTTATTTATTTATATATTGGAATGTGAATGATACCTAGGTAAGTTAATTATCTAGATGGTGTTCATGATATGCAATCAGATCAGATCAGATCATATCATATCAGACCAGACCAGACAGATAACTAAAAACTCCTCTAGTTATCCTTAGCATTCTTCTCCTGCGTATCAACGAGTATATGAGCAAGCCAATGACGTAGATATTCCATGTATGTAATGATGATAGACAGATATGCACATCGGTTCGAGCATACCTACACCGTAATGATCTTTAATCTCCTATTTATTTCTTCTCAGATACTGATGTTTTTGTGCTACGGACACCTCTTGTGTCTGGGAACTGATCAGAGCGTGTCTGGTTGTATGCCACGCTGGTGAATGAGTGTATGATAGATGCTATGCATACGCTTTGCAAGTAGCGCAAGATTATCGCCAAAAAGCCTGCTCTGATGATCTGGCGAACTAATCTATAGCACGGAATATCAATCTAGACTTGCTAAATGCCTCGTATCTTCCAGTCATCATTTGATTTTTCAAATGAACATTTCGACTTACCTAGGTATCCAGATTTTGAGTGCAAGCGACCAATTAACACTTCGATAGGATCATCTAGCTTACTCTGTAAACCTCCTGAGAGTACGGCCTTGAATATCAACTTGATTTCCACTGTGTATCGATATCTGGAAGAGTGTTCGGAGGATCAATCACCGGAACGATCATTTTAAACTTCCAATTTCATTGGACTACTCGATGTCTTTAGTGATCCTTGGTACCTCTAACACATATCGGTAAACACTAGGTAGACATAAAGAGAGCATTACCAAGTACCAAACACCATATGGTTTTAGTGGTACTTACCACCGAAACCATGAAACCATGTACCAATCCGTGTATGATGGAGGTTGCCAGGAAATCATTTGTCTTAGCCCTATCTCGGGTATGCAAAACATTAAGGAGTAAGAGATGGTACTGCAAGTGGTCAGACGTTTGAAAATATACGAAGAAATCTTCCGATGAATTGGTATTGAGGTGGAGCTTGAAATAGCTTCTCAGTCGTACCCAAAAAGTATAGAATGCCATGTGGGAAATGCTTTGGGGAAATGTTTGGAGCCGGTCGATAGAGTAGAGCTTGTGGAAGGTATGTGCGAATTTGCGGGAAGTTTATGGAGTATGAATGGCAATATCTCTCAGAAAGATAGACTAAATCAATGGAAGACTTCCTTCCATCAAAAGAGACCATTACAGAATGAGAAGATATCTGGGGAAGATAGAACTATGCAGCAAAATGTTACCTAGACCTCAACGTTAATTGAGGCCGAAGACTTAGGCTTTTCTCTCCTCGTCATATCGCTTGCTGCAGAGATTGATCGGAAATACGATACTCAACTAACGGTATATATTAAAATATAGTTGGAAACGTCAATAGATCAAGAGAAGGTTTTGTTGTTCGGCCGATACCAAGGTTGTTGTTATCAAAAGGGACGGGAGGGAAAATTGCTACTGCACTGCACTGACCTGATTTCATTCATGATGAGAAACGCTCCAATCATAATAAACGAAGATCCAACTGATAACTGCAGCTTCCCGTGTATGCATATTCTCCTCCCATGGTAAGATTTGAAGCGTATGCATAACATACCGGTGAAGCTTGTGACTAGCATGATCCATTTGTCTACTTGTGTCTTGTTTCTAGAAAGCGGAATCATCAAACCTTGGTATGTCCGATTTTACGAATCTCCGAAAAGTCCGTAGTTTTCATGGGGTTGTGAAAAGCGTGACCATTCCGTTCATTGAATTGCATCTGGAGATTGAGAAGAAATGTTGGTAAGGCTAGGTAAGGTTTTCTTCAAATTTCCAACCTACCATCGAACATGTTTTTCTTCGACTGTCTTCAACCTGTTCTTGACCATGAATGATTTCAACTATTCGAAAAGGTCGAAAAGGGAGTTTTTCCACAGTCCAATTAGGATAAAATACTCGGAGAAAAAGCCATGATTCCACGTTTTTTCTCAATATTCTCCGTAGCAAAAGGACATTGTCCTCAATTGGAGAAATTCCGCCGTTAGTGGTTTCAGTAGGACATCTTCCTATCTTCCGTAACGCCTCCCTCCCGTCTTGCTGCCAATTGATTCTTGGATGGTGGCTGTATGGAGAAGTAGATCTCGAAGGCTCGGCTGAGGATGTCCGGAAAATACCTGCCTAGGTACTAAGGAACATGTCAGTTCATTTGTGGTGAAAGATTTGGATACATAGTACTCACTCATTATGATGATGATGATGATAACAGGCATGTTTAGGTATTTGAAAGAGGAATGTAACGGACGGGAGCAGGGCATCGTATTCGCAAAGACCTTATGATGGACTGTTCAGTGCGTACCGGTACTGTCAGATTCGAAGATAAGCAAGCCTAAGCAGTACGAGTACAGAGGCTCGAGGATTGGATCTAGGATGTCACATTTGTGTGGCATAGCATAGCATAGCATAGCATGGTATGTCATTGAATATCGAATCCACTTAACAAGTCGAAAGATGGGGAAGTTTGAGTAATTCCATATTGTTTCCTTAACAAATGATAGTTATGTATTATTGATTCTTCAAGAAGTACAGCCCCCCAAAAAGTATGAGTGAAGAATTCCTTTCATCCGCCAGATATCTGGAAAAAGATGGAGATGGGGGCTGAATGATAAGCACTCAACACCCACCCTACGCCCCTATGAAGATAGATAAATTAATGAACGAGATTCAATCCATCCTCAACAACTAACTCATCATTTTGTGTCAATCGTTCTCTCAGCCCAAACTTCATATCGACTTGAATACTTGAACAATTATGTATTTCTTCCCTTTGTTCCTTCTCCTTCTTCCTTCCCTTCTTCCCTTCCCTTCTTCCTTCCCCACTACGGAGTACACTGCCCTGCATCAACTGCCGCTCAATCTATCATGCATCGAATGATCCCAGTCAGACAAGGAATATAAATGTTAACGACGGATTTGAAAATCCATTTTGGACATTCCCCATGTCTCAAGAAGCGCGTGAGAAGTGATTCCGACGGAAAAGAGTTTCAAAAAATGAAGGTATGTATGATGAATATCAATTTGATATCAACGTGAGATTCAATCATCACCTACTAGGTGAGGTACTCTTACATACCCAATATTTACATCATTCATGCATGTGTCTCTCTGGGATCGAATCCAGTGCACCATACATACATACCTACCTAGGTACAAGTAAGTACCTGCCAGACGGAAAGATTCGCTTGGAAGATTGTTTATCTCCCAACATTTGAAACACCAGCACAGAACATCGGGTGAGATCACGATTGGCTGATGGAAGGAATTATTGGACCCCGAAGTGTACTAAAATCAGGCACGTGATACGGATCCTAGAGTTGGAGATTTTAGTTGATCCCACGGTGCGAGGGTGTGTGAAGGTGTGAGGGTGTGAGGGTGTGAGGGTGCCACTCGAGCCACTCATCTCATGATAAGATCAATCAATCCATAATATCATCAATTTAAAATATCCATACCTAGGTATAATCGACTGTGTGAGATCTTCCAAGGGTCCAAACGATACAATCCCGTATATCTTCCGTAAAACCAAAAGAACCAACAATCAAATCAAATCAATCGGTGGCCGTATTCATCCTCTCTATTTAACTTATTATTATTGCTGGTCACGTCCATTTCTATATTTATCACATCTTGCCTTACTTCACTCACGAGAGAGAGAGAGAGAGAGAGAGAGAGAGAGAGAGAGAGAGAGACAGAGAAACTTGCTTGTCTTGCCTCACCTTACCTGGCATAATTTTAGCGAGAAATTTAATAAATGTACGGCGTGAGCGTGTAAACTCAATCAGGTCCACTTACAATTTCATCATCCCGAACCCGCACGCCAACAAGCAGATGAATTAACCCGCACAACAATCCGAAACCATCGCAATTCATCCCGATTTCTTCATTCCAAGTAATTATCACCGTCGCTTACGGTATTCATTTCGTATCTCATCGTTGAGAGTTCGTTCCATTCCCTGAACCAACTTCCCAGTTACGCGCGACTCCGAGGCGCAAACAATCCACTGTGGCGTCCGTCCTCACTCAAACGCAGTCGCAACTGTCTCTTCAACAACACTTGGATATCTCATCGGAGGTCCTGGAATACGTGCAAGAGGAACTGGAGGGGGAACCACAACCTTTGATGATGGCGCAGGCAGGAGGGCCTAATCAAAATCCGCCAAATGACAAGAGAAGGGTCAAGGTCTATGAGTTGCGCGATGGCGACTGGTTTGATAGAGGTACTGGCTTCTGCAGAGCCGACTTTATGGTTGTATGTTCATGCTCTCTTTCTCAATCTTCACGCATACATCTATTGTCTGCGCGCCGATTGTTCTTGTCCTTATCTTGCTCTCGCATTTTCATCGGGACTTGTTGCCTAATCATCTTGAATTTATATAGGATAATGGCCCCGAAAAATCAGACCCTAGAGTAATGGTGCAGTCGGAGGATCAACCAGGTCGTATATTGCTAGAGACTAAGATCGTGAAAGGAGATGAATTTCAGAAACAGCAAGGTATTTTGGATCAGCGCATGATTCCCACATTTCATACTAATGCGTGCCATGCAGAAACTCTCATAGTGTGGACAGAACCGGATAGTGAGATGGACATGGCTCTCAGCTTTCAAGAAGCAGAGGGCTGCACGGCTGTTTGGTAAGTGGCATGTCGCGATGAACGCGTCATAAGATGGTTGCGCATCCGAACATTTCTGACTGGTGCTTACTACAGGCGATTTATCAATAACATACAAACGACTCTGGGTGGACACGGAGGAATCAGTATTGAGGGTAAGTTTAGCAACCTAGAGTTCTAATTATGATATTCTTTTTGCCCTCATCGTACTCACAATTCTCTATAGAAGATATCATATCTGATGATAACATCCCCGAGCTAAACATTCCAACGTCTCTTCCCAATCCTTCACTGGGTAACCTGCCGGAATTGGAAATGCAATTAAGACAATTGAACAGCACAACATCCGGACGCGAAGCCCTTACGAAATTGGTCATCAACGAAAACTACATCCGAAGATTGATACCACTGGTTGAAATAGCAGAAGATATGGAGGATCTACCAAGTTTACATCGACTTTGCAACATGATGAAGATTATAATTTTGCTCAATGACAATGCAATCATCGAGCATATCGTTACGGATGAGGTGGTTATTGGTGTTGTCGGAGCTTTGGAGTACGATTCGGATTTCCCAAGTCACAAGGCCAATCATCGACTTTGGTTAGGCAAAAAGGATAGATATAAAGAAGTTGTTGAGATACCCGATGAAAACATCATGAGGAAGATTCATAATACGAATCGATTGCAATATCTCAAGGATGTTGTCCTCGCCCGAATCTTGGATGACCCAACGTTCTCGGTTCTTAATGGTCTGATCTTTTTCAATCAAGTTGAGATTGTCCAGTATCTACAGAACAATACAGCAGTTCTCAAGGAACTTTTTGGCATCTTTGGAAACCAAGAGACAGATCAGGAAAGAAAGAAAATGGCTGTACTTTTCATACAACAATGCTGCGCTATCGCGAAGAATTTGCAACCACCAGGACGACAAACGCTATACAATAACTTTTTGAGTCATGGCCTTTTATCTGTCATTAATTTCGCTCTCAAACACAATGATGTTGGGGTACGAGTGGGAGCTACAGATGTATTGGTCTCTATGATTGATCATGATCCTCAAATGATTCGTCAAACCATATTTCGACAAATGGCCGAGAAGCAAACTTTGTTAACTGATTCTCTTATCGATCTTCTTCTCGTAGAAGCAGATTTGGGTGTAAAGGCTCAAATAGCAGATGCGATCAAGGTTCTTCTCGACCAAGGTAGTCATGTAGGACCATTGGAAGGACTCTCAAAAGCCAATGGTGCTGAATATGCCGCTCGAATTCGAAATCAAACAGATCCTCAACATGAACTTTTCCTCAATCAATTCTATGAGGAATCAGCGAAAAAATTATTTAAACCTTTAGTGGATTTGAAAGGACGCGAGGATATGAACTTTACTGTTCATCAAGTATCTTTATTCATTTACTTGATAGAGATTCTTTGCTTTTTCATTAGACAACATATGCACCGCAGCAAATATTTTGTGCTATCAGAAGGATTAGCTCAACGTATCTCTCAGCTTTTGGGGAGTCCAGAGAAGTACCTAAAATTGAGTAAGTTACTGCATTTTAATAGCCTTGAACTTGACTAACAAACTCTAGCTGCATTGAAGTTTTTCCGAAATTTGGTTGGTTTACAAGATGAATTTTACAATCAACAGATGATGCAAGATCATCTCTTTGAGCCAGTTTTAGACCTTGTCATTGAGACCATGCCTCGAGATAATCTTTTGAATTCAGCTTGTTTGGAGTTCTTCGAATTTATCAAGAATCAAGGTTCCAGTACTAGGGTTTTGGTCAATCATTTGGTGGAAAACTATCGAGAAAAATTCGAGTCAATCACCTATGTTGACACTTTCACAAATTTCATCACAAGGTATGATAATAATCAAGGATTTGCATCGAGTATGGAAACTTCATTCCTCGATACCGAAGATGAAAGTCCGAAGAGGCCTGAGACAGGCAGAGGTAGTAGATGGGGCTCAGGTATCAAGGATTTAGATGCGGATGAAGAAGCCTATTTCAATACTTCTGATGACGAAGAGGAAAAGTCTCAGGACCAGAGTTTGACGAATGGGGAATCACCTGCTTCGCAGCCTTTAGTCGACTATCCATCGGATGAAGAAAATGAAAATTCGGAAAACGATATTTCCGTGGGTATAACCTCTGCTCCATTAAGTCGGAGCCCTTCACCAAAACCATTAGCTTCCAAAGATTCCAGTGGAGATGAGTTAGTATTGACTCCCACTTCTTCCACACCAACTCCACCAGAAAGGCTATCGGAAAAACGCAGGAGAGAAGAAGATGAAGAAGATGAACTCGGCAAGCTTTCTCATCATAAACGAAGAAGTTCTACGAGTTCTACGACATCAACAAATAGCGTGTTGAGGAGGAAACAAAGCTTCACCAAAACACGAGATGCTAATAATGGACCTAAAAAGATTGCAATCAGTTTAACTCCAGCTATCAAAACTGGTGGCGATAGCCCTGGTGGCAGTTCAAGTTGACATACTGGTACGATGATTTAAAAATCTTTTTTAATGGAAGATCAAGATTCTTCAGAGGACATTGGCGCTATTTAATTGCACGAAATGGAGTTTGGGCGAAAGGAAGGGAAGGAAATGGAATTGTTCCTGATTGATTGATATAAATCTTCACTCAGTTCAACCAGTGACAGTGATTGCTTTATTGGTTTGCTTTTAATTTTGGCGCCAATAGTTCAATTTTGCTTGCATCAAGATTCTTGGCTTTGGCTTGATTTTTTCGCTTTGGTTGAAAGGATGGGGAGGGAAACTTTGCGGAATCACTTGATTGTCAATTACTTGTACAGTAGAATTGGGACAGCGATATTTCTGGGAATGAATGGATGGATAGGTGGGATGGGAGGAAATCAAATGATTAGCGAAGGAAAGGGGAGAGGGAAGAGATGAGAAGAGGAAATGAAAAGATGAGAACAGATGAGTTGATATCAGATGAATTGATACTATCTTTGTCAAATAGATCTTGACATTGATTGCCAGCAGCATGAAATGAAGATTTCCAGCACTTTTGATTGTTTTTGAGTTGTTTAGATGCTGGTACTCGAGATTTATTATTGAGATGTGATGATACCTACCGGACCCCGAGATACTATCTAAGTAATAAGCCAGCCACGAACTGCCGCGTCAGCTAATCCAATCGGACTCGCATTCGTCAGTGTCCACGGGTCCCCAGATTAGACGCTTGGACCTGGGTGGATGAATGGGCTGTGGGTAGGGTAGGCTGTAACGTAGGTAGGTACATGGTCAGGGTACGAGGTGCGGCCGTGAGTTTTGGTTTGGGTTGGTTTGGTTTTTAGGTTTTGGGTTTTGGAGAACGTGTTCTTATGTGTGTGAAGAATGAATTGAAATTGAGATTGAGATTGAGATTGAGATTGAGATTGAGATTGAGATTGAGACTGTGAATTTTGATTTTGATTTTGATTTTGATTTTGATTTTGATTGAAGATAAATTCTGATTGATCTGGCTTTCAATTGATTTGAATTGAATTGATTTATGGATTTATTTTTTTGAGGGGTCACTTATTCATTCTTTCAGTTTATTCATTGATTGATTGATTTTACGTTACTTGCTTGGGTAGCTTGGGTAGCTTGGATATCCATTCTCGGGTGATTTTAATTATTTTGGTCGGGAGGTATATGTATACAGAGAGAGGTACTTACTTACACATACACATACGTATACGTTCCTTTCTGCTGAACGAGTAAGTGAGTGGGAATTCGGATTGGAGAATTTGGAAGAGATTGGCGAACGAACTGGAGGAACAAGAGGAACTAGAGGAATTGGATGTGCGGAGGACAATTTGGAGCCAGCTGAGGGGAATTTGCTAATTGTGTGTGATTGCGATTGCGATTGCGATTGGGCTTGTGATTGTGATTGCAGGTTTCGAGAATCTGGGCTGGGTTGCGCGTAAGAACGGAACGGACGAACGAACGAACGAACGGGTTTGCGATTCGATTGATTGATTGATTACTTGATTACTTGTCTCTGCGGAGTTCCTAGCACATCCATCTCGAGAATTCGATTGAAGAAGCAAAGGAAACGGAAGGGAGATAGAGAGTTCTTGCTACTCTACTAACACTTCGATATGGAGGGGTTACTCGAACTTCCGGTGCGGATACTGGGGGGGTTGTGGGAGATGGTGAGGCATACGCCGGCGCATATCCTGGGGGGGGTTTTGATCGGGTTGCTGGGTGTGGGATTGGGTTGTGTGAGTTTATCTTTCTTTTCTTTTCTTTTCTTTTCTTTTCTTTTGGGGGGAGGTAGGGTTTCTTGGGGGATTGTAGTTATCTAATTACGAGAGAGAGATTTATACTCGGGATGGGAATTGGATTCGATACTTCAGAAGTAGGAACATCATGCTAATACGATACAACCCAGATATACGCTCTCCTCCTGCTCGTCGCGCCCGTCCCCAGACCTCCCTACCCATCTGAAAAAACATACATAACCACCACTCCCAGCGGCACCACGGAAACCAAGCCCCTAACCTGTTGGTACGATTCCTGGGTTGCGCATCGCGAAGCCTCAGTTTCAAAGAGTGGTTCCGCGGCGCAAAATCACATTCGCACGGGGGTCATCGAACCCGCCACTCTCGAGATGAGTCTGGTGGTGCCGGCGTATAATGAAGAGGCACGCTTGATCGGCATGTTGGAAGAAGCGCTTTCGTTTCTCGATGCGACGTATGGACGTGTGGCGCGCGGAAAGGGGACGGGAACGGGCTATGAGATTTTATTGGTGAATGATGGGAGTCGCGATGGCACGGTGGAGATCGCGTTGGAGTTTTCGCGGAAGCATGGGTTGCATGATGTTTTGAGGATTGTGACGTTGGAGGAGAATCGCGGGAAGGGGGGCGCGGTTACGCATGGGATGAGACATGTGAGGGGGGAGTATGCGGTGTTTGCTGATGCGGATGGGGCGAGTCGGTTTGCGGATTTGGGGAAGCTGGTTAAGGGGGTGAAGGAGGTGGTGGATGAGGAGGGGAGAGGTGTGGCGGTGGGAAGTAGAGCTTGGTTGGTGGGAAGTGAAGCGGTTGTTAAGGTATTTTTTCCTCTTTTTCATTTCCTCTTTTTTTTCACATCACATTCTTTTGGGTGGAGATTGGTTGTGTGGTAGGAGGAAACAGTTTATGTTTCTTTTCTAAGCGGTTCTTCTCTTCACCATACTACATTTCCTACGTTTACTTGCACGAATTTCTCTCCTTATCCTTCCCAATCCATTCATCCATCACCAGAAAAACAAAAAAACTAACACCCCACCCCCCACAGCGCTCCGCCCTCCGCAACGCCCTAATGCATTCCTTCCACCTCCTCCTCCGTCTCCTCACACCCCCCGCCACCTCGCGCATCCGCGACACGCAATGCGGATTCAAGCTCTTTACGCGCGCGGCCCTCCCCCACATCATCCCCTACATGCATGCCGAAGGCTGGATTTTCGACGTCGAAATGCTCATGTTGGCTGAGAGTGCGCCGGGGGTGGAGATGGGGAAGGGAAAGGGAAAGGAAATTGGAAAGGGAATCAAAGTTTCCGAACAGCCGATTGCGTGGCAGGAGGTTGGGGGGAGTAAATTGAATGTTATGTGGGATAGCTTGGGGATGGCGTGGGGATTGGCGGTTTTGAGGGGGGGGTGGGGAATGGGGGTTTGGAGGAGGAGGTGAAGTGAGGTGGGATCTGGGGTTGTTGATTGTTGTTGATAGCTGGTTGCTTGGTTGCTTGGTTGGTGGATAGATGGATAAATAAATAGATGGATGGATGGATGGATGGATGGATGGATGGGTTGATAAATAGCTAATAGCTGGTAGCTGGTAGCTGGTTGATATTGTAGATAAATGCACGTATGTATGTATATATATACATAAATACATCCATGCATAAAAGGATAAAAGGATAAATAGATAGACAGACAGGCGGGCCGGTGGGAATTAGATGTATATATGTATCTGTATCTGTATATGTGTATATGTGTATATGTGTATATGTGTATATGTGTATATGTGTATATGTGTATATGTGTATATGTGTATATGTATATCTATACGAATGTAAATAGATATAAAAGGAGCATTTCACCACACCACATCACATCCCAGCACATGCCATATACATACCACAGCACATCAAGAAAAGAACAACCCCAAACTCCAAGCGAAAATAGAAGTTGAATTAGAAGAGAAGTACATGGGTAACCTTGTATATGTATATTTTCAAACTATATTGCTCTTTCAAAGCATGCATTTCAAATTTATTAAGAATATAGTCAATAAAAAGTATTAATTAGGTATAAGTACGGATGTAATCTATAACAACGAAAAAAGAATTTCATACATCTCCCCTCTCCTCTTCCCCCATCCCAACGCCTACATTATTATATGTATGCACATCTCTGAACAGTGATTGAATTTCCGGTAAATTCGCGGTAATCTCAAAGAACCATACCCTTATTACCAGAATATAACTTTGTGAATGTCTCATCTATCATCTCTCGTAGCCATCTATTTTTTCTGTTCATCCAACCCGATGGACGTGTATCCACATCCTTGATGGATGATTCTCCTTTGCCAAAGATCAAATGAGCCCATTGAAGTGGCCTATGACTTGATATGTACAGCCTCCAGTTTCCCATTCATCTGGGGCAAAGATCAGGCAAAGTAAATATTTACAGGGCCTTCTTGGCCATCTTTGCTTCCTTCTCCATCTTTCTCTCTCTTCTTCTCTTGGCAGCTTCTGGTCCACTCTCGGTATCCAAAACATAATCCCACCATCTGAAACTGCTTGCGTAATTTCCGATAAACTTCTCATGATGAGTATCATGATGTTCAGCACCAGCCCAGAAAGGCAAGAAATGATGAAGCGACCAAGGGAATTCATAACCACTATGAGCATCGATTGCTTGGAAAAGTCTGCACACGATCCAAATATACATAGTCAAGATGTGAAGATTTCCGGTGAGCATAACCCAGAGAATGGGAGATCCAACCGTTCCGAGACCGAGGACCATAACTTCGATTGGTGATGCGTATTCGGCGGCGAGACCAAAGGGTGCAGAGTATTGATGATGGATTTTATGAACTTTCTTGTAGAGCCATCCGTAGTGCATGGCGCGATGCATCCAATAATGCCAAGTGTCTTCGAGAACGAAAAAGATGGCGACTTGATAGGCAATGGTAAAGAGAGATGGGAACGGAACATCAGTACCCATTCCAAAGTATTTGGCCATTGGGTGGAAGAGGTAAATTTGAGGAAGTTCGACAGTGAAATGGGAGAGGAGAACGAGTTTTGTACATGTCCATTGTTCGGCAGCAGTAGGAATTTTATTCTGGAGAAGAAGAGTTAATGAATGTTGGAGTAGAGAAATTGATGCTGATGTTTCTGTAGATGTGACGAGAGGAATTGGAATTGGAAGTGTCTTACGCCTTGAATCTTGTATTTGTTGAAGTAAGGAATTTGATCAATGATGATCCAAGGAAGACTTCGACCAAAGTAAAAGACTTCATGCATCACGAAACTCATGATACCAGTGGCAAGGACATCATTTTGCATGTAGGCATACCAACTCTATCGAATCATTAGTAAGTGGATTTTGGATTTTGGAGATGATTGAAGATATATTGATGTAAAGGAAAGGCCAAGATCCACTTACCGCCCAGAGTCTTTCAAATATGTTGAGATGAACATTGTATTTACTCAACTCATCATAAATACCTAGAAAGGTATCTGGAGAAGCAGAAATGGTTGCATTTGATAATACATCCATAGCTGCAAATTTAGCTATGGAAAAAGGAAGGAAATCAAAAGATTGAAATGGATGGTGTTGTGAAGGGAAGGAAGAAAAAGAGGGAGGAGGTAGGTTTTTGTGTAAGTAGTAAAGTAGTAAAGTAGAGAGGTATGTGTGTCAGGGTATGGAATGAGATTAGATTGATCGATTTTATTTTAATATGGATTCTTGGGATTTGCCTGTCGAACCACAATTGGTTATCGGAAGGGAAAAGTCCCGGTCAGGTGAAGGTGTAGTAGCTGGAGGGTGCAGGTGATGGGTGTGGATGTGGCTATGAACATGGGATGGGTTTGGCTCTTACTTGATTAGGTAAAGGAGAGAGACGATTGAGAGTTATTGGGTAGAGAGGGAGAGAGGTAAGAAATAATTCAACCTTTTTGGGAGCAGATATCACGTGAATTTATGGTGTGGCTCGAGTACAGCACTAGGTACCTGGGTTAGTGCGGCGTCCACGAGTGTGATCTTTCGTGTTTATCGGGATTTGAGATACCGATACCGATGGAAAGAATGAAATGGGATGGGCTCGGTCACCTCGGTGGGATCATGCTGGGTGAGAAAAAGGACATGCATGGATCGAGTGATGATGAAGTGATAATCATGTGATGATGAGGTGATAATCATGTGATAAATGAGCTGAGCTGGTGTTTGAAACAGATATGAGATGGTTGATGGTTGATGGTTGATTGGTGATTGGTGATTGGTGATTGGTGATTGGTGATTGGTGATTGGTGATTCGGGATATGAAATGATTCTATGAGTAGATAGATAGTTACCTGATACATCAAATACTGATTACCTAAGTTCAACCATCCTTCTGGCGTACATGTTCTACTCGTGTTCTTCAACTCATCATCACATTTCACATTCTCACTTCCCCCTTCTTCGTGTTCGTACCTGAAAATCCATCATCATCCAATCACGTCCCTAGTATCTGTATCTGTATCTGTATCTGTATCTGTATCTGTCCCAACTTTTACCCCTTTTTCATTTTCCCTGCATACCCGCACTAGTGCTTGATCGATTTCTTCTGGAATATGTTTATGTAATCACTCTCTTAGTCTTCCATAGATACACCCACGTGATATCCTCAACCTCCCTCCTGTAGAAACTTTTCACCGATGCCAAGCCAAGGGATCTTAGTCATCATTATCAATTGGAAATCTCATCCAATCATCTCTCTCACTGGGACATGGAAATCTCCTACCGCCACATTGTATTTTGACCAGGGGCTTCAATCATGACCATAATTTTTCATCTTTCATATGATAATCATCCATTTCCTAGGAACGGTCTACCTAGTCCTCTACTTTTACCCAGGTACCGCCCTCCGTAGACTAGAAAAGTCTAGAAATGAAAGAATAGAGAAGGCTAGGATAGGATAGGAATTTTAATCGTAAGATTTCATGCAAATATACTCATCATCTATCAGTTCATATTGTCCCTGCTATCTTGCTTGTCCAGAAAGAGAAGAGTGCGAGAGAGATATCAGCTCATTGCTAGCTTGCTTGCTTTATATCATTCATGGTTTATTATTTTATTTTATCTTCTTGATATCGTATAACTATCCCATTTAGATTTCCTAAAATCCCTTTTTTATATACCTACCCAGTACCTACGATTAATGACGGGATATGTTACATGTCGATTCCTAACATTCATTGATTCTTCACTCACTTATTCACTCATATGATTCATTGATCGATCGATTGATTCATAGACAAGAGTCAGAAGAATTGCTGTCATACCTTCCTTCCTTCCTTCTCTTATAGCAGAAATTATATCTGCAAACGTTACTCACACCTACATACTTACATACCTATCTACTTATCGACATATCTACAACATCCTCAACGCTCACAATCCCACTCACCAATCCCCCAAATCCAATCCCAATCTCAATTCCAAAATGTCAAAACCTTACACCATACAATCCGCAAACGAAGAAAGACGTCGCGTTTACCACGAAGCAGATGTAGTCGTAGTCGGCGCTGGTATATTCGGTTGCGCAATAGCTTATGCACTTGCCCAACAAGGTCGCAGTGTCATTCTTCTCGAACGTTGGCTTAAAGAACCTGATCGTATAGTCGGCGAACTTCTCCAACCAGGTGGTGTGTCCGCACTCGAAAAACTTGGACTCGCACATTGTTTAGAAGGCATTGATTCGATAAGGGTGAAAGGATATGAAGTGATATACCATGGCACACCCGTCTCCATACCTTATCCGCCAAATGCCGGCGCAGCACAAGAAGGAGGATTTAGAGGATCAGAGAATGAAAAGAGTACCAGACCAGAGGGAAGAAGTTTTCATCATGGAAGATTTATTTCGCAATTAAGGAAAGCTTGCGCTAGTCAACCCAATATCACCATTGTCGAAACAGAAGTTACAGAAACCATAACTGGCGGACATAATTCAACCCAAGTCCTTGGAGTCCATACACGAACTACCAATCCATCTACGGGCGAAAAAGAAGCAGATTGTTATTTTGGTCATCTCACAATCATAGCAGATGGATATGCCTCCAAATTTCGCAAGCAATATATCAACAAAACTCCAGTTGTCAAAAGTAAATTCTACGCTCTAGAATTAATAGATTGTCCCATGCCCGCTCCCAATCATGGAATCGTAGTCCTCTCAGACGTCTCCCCAGTTCTTCTCTATCAAATCGGCACTCACGAAACTCGCGCTCTGATAGATATTCCCGACAATGTCCCCGCTGCATCTGTCGCTGCCGGTGGCGTAAGAAATTATATTCACACCGTCGTCCTCCCAGTCCTACCACCACAAGTCCGACCTTGTTTTCTCAAAGCCCTCGAAGATGGAAAAATTCCCCGCAGCATGCCAAATAGTTTTCTCCCTCCCTCGACCCAAACTCAAAAAGGAGTTCTCCTCCTTGGTGACGCAATGAATATGCGTCATCCCCTAACTGGTGGTGGCATGACTGTAGCATTCAATGATGTTGTTCTCTTATCCTCTTTACTTTCTCCTTCCAACGTCCCAAATCTAAACGACACGGTTGCTATAAGTAAAGCTATGAAAGAATTTCACTGGCGTCGCAAATCTCTTTCCTCTATCATCAATATCCTCGCTCAAGCTCTCTATGCACTTTTCGCAGCTAATGATCCACAACTCAAGGCATTACAAAAAGGTTGTTTTCATTATTTCAAAAGAGGTGGAAATTGTATAGAAGGTCCTGCAGGATTATTGGCGGGAATCATTAGACAACCGTTAGTATTGATTTATCACTTTTTTTCAGTGGCAGTACTAGCGATTTGGATCTTGATGGGAGATATTACGGGAGGGGTAAAGGGAATTTGGAAGGCTCCGTGGGCAATAGAACAGAGTATGGAGGTTTTTTGGAAGGCATGTGTGGTTATCGTTCCATTTATGTGGAGTGAGATGAAAAGTTAGGGGAACTTGAATGTTCTGAAGTGGTGTGAGAAAGGGAAGAAGGAAGTTGTAATGTTTGATGAAAGAGATGATGAGATTGTGGAATGTGTTTGATGATTAGAGGAAGATGCACATGATATATTCAAGATGATGAAAGTTCTTCATGGCTTGTCATTCGTTATGTTGTATTGTGTTAGCGAGCGAGGCTTTATGTGTTTAGGCATGTTAATGGGCGTTTAATGGATTGAAGAGGCAGGTGAAGCTAGGAGAGGAAGGAGAGAAGGGGGGAGAGAAGAAAGGGAGAGGACAGAAAAGAAGTTGCATGAAATTCTTTAGGCTCTTCCTTGAATTCATAGAATGCATCTTTATGCATGCATATAGAGTTCTTGATAGATAGGTGGATAGCCAGAGACAGGAACAGAGACAGAGAGACGGAGAGATAGCGAGAGAGAGATCCTATATAACTTATAATTAATTAACATAATAATACTCTGTCTGGTTTTGATATTGTTGTTATTTTAGAGTTAGTTATTCTTGTGTTGTGTCGTATCGTATCGTGTCGAGTTATATTATGTTGTATCATCTCCCTCTATTACTATCTCCTTCTCCTGTCTCCTGCTACTACTTCCATTCCCTTATTTATCTAATATCTAGCATTTAGTATTTACAATATTCATCACTCATCACTCGTCACGCATTATTCACTATTCACTATTCATTACTCATTACTCATTACTCATCATTTAATAATTTTTAATCCTACTTTATTTACCTTACCTAGTATATAAATCAAAATCTATTTCATCAATTCTAAATTCCACAATTTAACTTATATATTTATTTATTTCTATTTAGTTTAGTTTATGCTGTTTGGTTTAGTTTATTGATAGTTGATTGGATGGGATGAGATGGGATGGGATGGGATGTGATGGGATTGAATGGGATTGAATTGGATTGGATTCAATGGGATTGAAATTGATTGAATTGAATTGGAGTAGATCGAAGTAGGTAGGTATTAAAAATCAAATAATTTTATGAACTTTATTTATACTTTGGATTTACAATCTCAAGATATAATATAGGATGGAAGAAGCCTTGAAATGTAGAATATGGAGAGAGGATAGAGAGAGGATAGAGAGAGGATAGAGAGAGGATAGAGAAAGAATATAGAGAGAGAATACTCAAAAAGATATCCCTCAAGATCCTCAAGAGAAAAGAAAAGAAAAGAAATTAAGTAAACCCTAAAATCAATATTAATATCAAGATTAAATGGAAAATCGGGGAGAGAGAGAAAGGGAGACATATTTACTTGTTCCCTCTGTTCCCTCGCTCCCCTCTCTCCCTCGTTTCCTCGTTTCCCCTTTTCCCCTTTTCACTACTCATGTACCGAGAATCAATGATCCATTCATTCAAAACATACATACATTCATGATATCATCAATCATCAATGATTCATCATCAACAACATCAACAACCCCCCTCTAGCATTCTTCTTCTTCTTCTTAATCAGTCAGTCCCTCCTGATCAATTCCTCATATCCATTGTCTTTCTATTCTTCCCACCTCATTCCTTCTATTTAATTCCTTTTATTATCCTCTCTCGTTTCTCCTCCCCTTCTTCTTCTTCTTCTTCTTTCTCTTATTCTTTTATTCTTTAGGGGTTTTGTTTATTATTATCTTCCTCTTTCTCTTCCCCTTTCTCTCTTATTTCATTAGTCTCTTCTCCAGCTCTTCTTAACCATTTTCTCTTAACTATCTTCCTCCTCCTCCTCTTGAGTATTTCTCTTACATCGTTTCACCTTTTTTTAATTTTTCATAACCGATTTTTCATAACCGATTTCTCCTAACAACCTCCTCTAAACATCATCTTCTAATCATCTTTTTGTTTACTATCTTCTCCTTATTTCTATTCTTATCTCCTTTTTATCTATATTATAACATCTCATAATCAATTCCCTATTCTCTATTCTTTCTTCTTTTGACTATTCTCTCTTAATCACTTTCTCATATCATCAAATTACTCTTCCGCTTAGCTGGTTTTCACTCCTATTTACTCAAACTATTTTTTCTTTCTTTAGCTACTTTATTCTCATGTAAACATAAATAAATAACTTCAATTTAATAACTACAAGATGAAGCTTTATACGAATGTAAAAGAGACTAGCTCTTATAGTAGTGTGTATGTAAGATCTACTACTTTCTATATAGCTAGTTCTTTAAACTGGATATCAATAGATATTTAGAACCTACGAATGCGTCTTTCGTATTCTCCTTAAACTAATAATTCTAGCTAGTTTTCCTTAGTTATTTACTCTCAAGCAGTTCCTCTTATATTTTATTTTTCTTATATTCTTATTAAGTTCTTTTCATTTATTACTTCTCTTTTTTCTTTTAATTAGTTTCTTTTAATTAGTTTCTTTTAATTAGTTTCTTTTAATTAGTTTCTTTTAATTAGTTTCTTTTAATTAGTTTCTTTTAATTAGTTTCTTTTAATAAATTCCTTTTAATCAGTTCTCTTGAACCAATTTCTCTTGGTCAGTTCCTTTTAACCAGTTCCCCCTAGTCAACTTCCCTTATTCAAGTTCCCTTAACAAGCACCCTTTTTAGTCAATTCCTCTTATTCATCCTCATCTTCATCTACAACCCCCCCCTCACCTATGACCTCATCTTCATCTACATCCCATCTTTGTACCCAATTCCCCATTCCCTCCCTCTATCTCTTCCTCCCATCCAATCCCTCCACCCATCTCCTCCCGTTCACCACCTTCCTCTTCCTCCTCTTCTTGTTATCACCTCCCAGTTTCTTTTCCTTTGGATCCTTTCCTCTTGGCTATTTCTCTCGGCTATTTCACTTACCCTGTTCCTTTTATTCAATTGCTGAACCACATACTCAATCCTTTTTAACCAATTCCCAATTCCTGAATCATCTTCCCCTTTCTGTCCATTCCCCTTCCTTTCTATCCTCCTCCTCCTCATTCACTTATCCATCCCCATCCCCGTCATCTTCTCATCACCTTCCCCATCACCTTCATATCATTATCTCCATCCTCTCACTAATTGAATAGTCAAATAGTCAAATGATCAAATACCCAATGAGAGTATACATCCAGTATCCATAAAGTAATACTAAGACTACTACTAACATAAAGATCCATAACATTACCTGTAATACCTACCCAACTCCCTCCTTGTATACCCATATTATACACTCATATTGTACACTCATATTATACTACCTATCCCCAACTACCTATCCCCAACTACCTATCCCCAACTCCTAACTCCTAACACACGACCTCTTCCCCTTCCCATTCCCATTCCCATTCCCCTCCTTTCCCTCCTTTCCCTCCCCCCTTTTTAAACAAATAAACAATAACAACAAGAGACAATAATAACAGAAACAAAAGAAATAGACAAAAGCAAGAGGAATATCTAGCTAATACTTAGACAACCATTTAATATAATATAACATAACAAATAGATATATAGTACATATATAAATAAATAACTACCCACCTACCTACCCATCAAATCAACTCATCACTCATTCTTCTTTTCCTATTTACTTTCTTATTCCTCATTTCTTATTTCTTAATTCTTTTACTCACTCCCTCACCCATCCACTAGCTCACTCTCACACTCCCCCTATCACTCACTCACTCACTCACACCTCACTCACCTACTCACTCACTCACTCACTCACCTACTCACTCACTCCTTCCCTACTCCCACCTTCCTCTTCCACCCCCCTCTTCCATCCCCAAGAATCCACACTCACCTACACCATCCCCGAGATCCCAAACTCACTTCTTTCCTTCCCTTCCTCTCCTCTCCTCCCTTTCTCAAATCAACCATCCGCACAATCACATGTCACCCAACTACTTCAATCAAGAAAAAAGAGCAAAAGAACGACGAGATAAATGAATAGGTAGATAAACGGACATGAATATAATGCATGGTAATTGGGTTTAGAATATTTTCATTTGTATATGAATCATCCACTCATTATCCATCCATATACTTCATTTATGAAAAGAAGATTGATACTATTCTAGTATTTTTACTTTCCTCCCATATTCCTCACCCATCATCCATCACCTATCACCACCATCCACTAATTCTCCATTCATCTACCTTCCAATATGCAATCCTCCTAATCTCACCCCCAAACATCCATCCATCCATCATCGTCATCATCATCATCATCACCAACTTCGCAAGAGATCAAGAAAGACAAACAAAAATCGCAGAAAAGATTCGGCAGATGAGAAAATCCATTGTTTTAATATTTAGCAGGATAGGATATTTAGTAGCCAACATTAACGAGATAAGTGATCAATTTTTGAACAGTCTCAACGGTGTTTCCGGCGATCATTGGATCGACGTATCGGGCTACGATGATTGCTTGGGTGGTTTTACCGATAACGACTCCATCCTTGCCCTAATTATAAGAGGTTGAAAATTAGCATATATTCTGTGTATTGATTTGATAAGGAGAGTATGAGGATATTTGGGGTTGGGTGGTTGTCGTGTTGTCGTTGAAAAATTGTAGTGAGTTTTGAGATGATGATGACAGACAAGGCTGAGAAAAGATGAACAAACCTTTCTAGCATAGAGCATCGAGCCATCCTCCTCAACTTTTGTAAGAACATATCTCTCGCCAGCAAGATGTAAACCATTTGCATATAAAGAATCTGTTTGGCCCTTGAGTCCATTTATGACCTCGGTCATTTCTGCTGGGGTGATCTACATGATTTGTGTCAGCGCCTGATTTCTGAGTGAGATTTTGTATACGTGTGCTCTATCCGCATTTTCTGATCATAAACCCATCTGCCATTGTCCCAAAGTAGCCTCGCAGATGTAAATATGAAATGAGTTCGGAAGCGGGATAGATATGATGTCGAGAAAATGTGAAATCGTACCTGGAATTCAGGACTGGTGGCCCAGCAAGAGGTTCCCTCCAAATTGTAGATAGCTCCCTTCTCGACATGTCCGCTTCCGCAAAGACTATTATTCCCATCAGTTTCCTATTCGATTTCATCTGTTCTCGTGCTTTGTATTATGGATCTCGTACCTTGTGTCGATATAAGCTATTGCAAATCATCAGTAAATGCTTCTTTTCCACGATATTCCAAAGACATAGAGGGGTCCCAAGGAGGGGTAACCGTAACCTCAGCTCCACCATTTCAAGAGGAAAAGATTAAACATACCCTGCCACGACATCTTTCAAATAGTAAAGTTTGTTGATGAGAAGATTCTTGCGTTAAATTCTTGCGATGACTTGGGTATCACCGGATACTGATCGAGGTATTGGGAAGATGAGTTGGTGATAAATTTTGATGGTGGTTGGATCCAGTTTATGTTTCTGTAGAGTAACGTGAAGGTCGGTCGGTGGTATACTCTAGGTGATATACCTCGCTTGTTTAGTTTGATGGCTGGCTTTTGGTGGGGTTGGTTGAAATGGATGAGTTGTTGTTTGCGGTGTGTGAAGAAGAAAGTCTTGAAAGATGAATGGATGCAATCATATAAAGTGGTACCTTTTTTGGTTTTTTTTTTATGTTTTTGTTTGTAGATGTGGAAGTGATTATGGTTGTTGGTGTTGTTGAGTTGTTATTGCTATTACAAGATTGCTGGAATATGGAAGAGAGAAGAGAAGAGTAACGGTGAGTGAGGAGGTATTACTAGAGGTAGGTAGATATATGATATAGGATCTTTTAAAGGCAGCAGGAGTGAATACAACGAGGAATATAACGACGTATTCAGTTCAACCTAGTAATTCCACAACACCTAAGCACTCTTTGCTAGCTAGATATCTATCTTCCCTCAAGATCTAGAGAAACCATGACTGAATATCATATCCGCATTAAACGAAGCATCCCGCTGTCAAAGCAAAATAAAGCATAGTAGTGACGACATAGATGAGGCTTATTTTGTGTAGAGCACTCATGAAGGAAAGGATCTAGATTGTGAATGTATTGTTGCTTGTTGCTTTACTTACGTATTAGTAGAGTAGATAGATACGATATATATGATATATGAGACGAAGAGCATCTGAAGCTTTGGTCAAACTGGGAAGCAATTACATGTACTACGAGCAATGCAACTAGAGCTATAGCTACCTACCTACGTATAGCTACATCACATCAAACGACGATAGCTCCAGTGACATTTAACGAGATAGAAATACGCCTCTGATCTCTTAGCAGTGCAATGAATGCTATGTTATGCATAAGTTCAAGCAGTTGTCTGAATAGAGCAACAGATGCAGCATCCGAAGGTATCCCGCATGCTATGCCATGCTCCGGCTCAAGAATATTCACAAGTCCTCAAGTTCACTCACCTACCTACCTACCTACCTACCTACTCGAGGAATACTTACAATCAACCTCATGTCTACAATGGAATGTTCCGCCGGTGAGCAAGACGACATGCATCGTGAGATGGCAAATGGAGTATTGATGATTCATAGAATGAATAATGAATGTTATTATAACCACGGACTCAATCCAAGCATCTTACTTGTACGTGGCAATCGACCCCATTCCCTTCATAAAGACGAGTCCCCAGAGGAGGGAAATTGAATGGTCTTGACTCTTGATATTACATGAACGGTGAACCTTATATCGTCAACATTGGCGCCATCACAGATCAACGAGTAGTCTTTCCTCTCGACACAACAAATCGAACCTGATCTCAAATAGGAACCCAGAATCCGAAGAGCCGAACTAAGATTTTACTTCATCAACCTTCATATCAACGAACCAATTAATACACTTTCTCTCATTTCACCCTTTCGGTCCATTTCCAAATTCTCCGAGATATATACTGCGTCCATTGGGAAAACTCACGCGTATATACAACGATTGTCGTCGTGTACAATGTGGATTTTGATATCTTTAAAATTGCTATTAATTTCATGAGACCCCATTTCTGCATCTCCAAACCCGTTTCCGGATGATGGCAAATCTACGGCGACGCGGAGGTTTTCATTGAACTGTCGTGCCAGGTACTCGGGATTATATGATATTATACAATTTTCTACACAATAACTTTCGCACGATACTCGTTGGAGCCAGAGCCCAGAGTCCAGACATCCACATCTATAGAAAATCTTTACCCCAATCTAAATACAACAAGTAGACAACACAACCCCTCCAAGATCAACACACATCATACGATTCTCCCCAATCGTTTCGGAATTCCCATCTTATCGTCGCAGATCTTTTTGAGACCCGCTTGGTTGATATGGTTGCCCACCATGATTTCCAAAAATATTTTTATTTTTTCAAGAGAGGCATTCCATTCATCGGTGAGCATTTGCTTCGTCATCGCTTATCAGAGATTCATCAAATCAGCGGGTTTAGGAGGTGGAGACTCGCTGAAATCTTCTCATGCTCAATGAAGTTTTGTCTCGATTCTCGTATTGGGTGGGATAAAGTAAGAATATAAAAAGAAAACTGCGTCGGTCTTGGAAAAGGAGACAATATGAATTACATCGTTGCTATACAATTTTGCCAGGAGAGTCCAATTTTCAGCTGGCTTCACCAAGCCTATCAATCATAGACAACACAACAAAATTCCCCTCTTCGGCGCCTGGAAATCACCTTTACTTTTATCATTGTTGTTCTGCAGGAGCCGCGCCCTCAGATCGCATCTTTGCGAATATATACCGGTTGCTATGTTGTTTGAAGACCCTGGCTCCTGGCTCTTGGTTGTTGTAGATCTTACGGGATAGTTGATAACTTGTGATTGATACATACGAGGATATGATTTGCTTGTTTGTGAGCTTAAATCTTTATACTATGGATAACTTCATTTTATCAAAAACTTGTGTGTAAAAGTAATTTAGGAAAAATTGTGAATACGACGGAAATTCTAGAAACTAGGAATAGACCAAATGATCATCGAGATGTTTTCGAGAATGGAAGGCCTTGGTGGTGAAGGCAAGGTCTAGGGCTTGATTGCTTAGACGTCTCGATTGTTTCGTCTCATCGCAGATTCATGCGGTGAAGGAGGTAGGCGAGACAGACCCTCGAGACTCGAGAGACCCTAACATTCCAAGATGCCCGGTAAACATGGAGATCATATCCATGAAATGCTTGTGATGATCTTTGCCTCAAGAACAATCTCCTTCCTAATATTCCTGGCTCCTTACGAAAGCTCCTCGGGGCTCCTACCGTATGGACTACGGAAATGCAGAGATGATGTTACCGCGAGGTCAGCGGAGATTTAAGTACAGATTGTACTTGGATAGCTGTACCTTGCCTAGTCTGTATGACGATGGGGTACTAGGTAGCTGGGTGACGGATTCCTCGCCGTTTCATTTGAAGAGGTATTAGATGCGAGGACTAAAATGACAAAACGGTTCGGTATCCAAATCGCCAAATCCAGAAGATCTAATCATTCGAACAACCCCCATTCCAAGAGACGAACGTCATGATAGGTAACATGTTCAATGTCCAATTTCTTTCATATATACACTTGCAGACTGCCTCACCTATTGAGCCGCTTCATCTCATTCGAGCTTCACACATGAGAGACCCCTCTTCATAACAATTTTGGCATATATATCTTCATCTTATCATTGGATCACAACGAGGATTGTAAGATTAATGCATCTCCACAACAAACCCGGCTCTAATCTCTGGGATTCTGATACGCGATCTCATTCGCTTGTCTTCACTGCCAGCATCCTTAAGGCCTCCATGAACAAGGAAGACATAGGTTGCTATATATTTTTCAACCACATTCGACCAATGCCAATGGCCAATTTTATATCAATGTGTATAACACACCGGATGTAAGAACATTAGGGATGCATGTCAAAATAGCAACCTTATGTTACCACACAACTATATTTTGGGTTTTGGATATCTCAAACATCATGAGATCCAATTTCCTTCCAGAACAATACCTGTAGGAAATTCCCAGCACCAGTCAAAACATTCATTTGGTGGTACGGAACGGAAAATCTTCCCTGCTTCAAATCACAATCCACTAGGAATTTAGGAGCAAATCATCTCGACATCTAGACTCCACAACTGGGTAATCTCATCCCATGTCTAAAAGGGCTCAAATCGTTGCAAGAATCCTAACATTTAATCAGCCACTTGAAGGCCTTTACTCATCCTAGATAGCTGATTAAATGTGCTACGTCAAGGTTCGCTACACACAAATTGGCAGCTTTTCATGATTATTGTACTACTGTACGATACATGTAAGGTCATTGTGAACTCCCCACTCGCTTGGCCTCGCCTTGTCCAGACCTAACCCCTTCCCCTTGTCCTCTCTCCAAATGTCTAAATTAAACGTCCCATTTACATCAAACAATCACAATATCCCGAGGTACCCCATCTCTTCTTACTTGCTCTAACTTACAGGGCTGAAGGAGATGTGCGATGCAACTAACAGATAAGTCATGTAACCATCTTCCTTGATCATTCTTGTTATTGCTTTCTCCTCTTCGTTGTCATATTTTCGATCTCCTCTCGATTTCTCTCTCTGGTAAAGAGTATTCCACTCTTTTTATTTCTCTGCTTCTCCGCGATTTGTTCTCGCTTTTCAAGGGTCTCCTGGTGTTACCTGTCCATTCCTTTGAGAAATATATTCGATCAATATACTCGTTTCACCATTCTACATCAGTCACATCACATTTCATCATCGTCAACAAAAATACTCGAGTAGACCCATTTTATCGGTTCAAAAAGGCACGAAAGTTCAGGCTCAGACCCAGGGTATAAACGATGTCGAAAAATATAACTAGGTCGAAGTCGGTGATGTCTCGTTTTAGAGGTCGAGATGCAACAGCCTCTAGTGCTTCACTTCACGTTACAGATGATGCACAGGCCAGGGATATTGATAACAATACATTTCAAAAATTCGAACTTGGTCGCGAAGGCCGGCTTAAACTTCCACAGAGACCATCAACTTCAGGTGGAACAAAAAAATCGACAGGAAATTTTCCTAAGAGGGCTCATACTGTCAAGAGAGAAACACGGGACGATCTATTTTTCAACCCTCTGACAGCACATGGGATAGACGGGCCTACGTTTTATAACTTTCCTTTACCTTCTACTCGACCCCCACCTTCACCAGTTGTACCAGCTGTGCCCCAAATGGTTGATCCTTTACCACGACCCTACAGTCCTGATTCTATCAAGACAGGTAGGACTGTTCAACTTAACGTTAGTGAGCTTGAGATTGGTATGGCACTTGGAAGTCCTTCACACCCACCAGAAAATTGGCAACAAGGTCAACAATCTCTCGGCATGGAATCAGTCCGTACTCTCGATCCAATGGACGACATGTCTCATTATGCCGATTCTATTGCTGCTCCGAAGCAAAAGAAAGGTCGGAAGTGGTTTGGTTTATTTGGAAGTAAGAAGGAAAAGACACCTGCATCGTTCTATCAACTGAAACCAGAATCACAACAAGGAATCCCAACGAGCGATCCTTCCTCACCAGAGACTAAACGTACTGGTAGATCTCGTGGTCGTTCAACTTCTAGTAAGACTGGTAAGAAACCTGATATGAAAAGATCGCAAACGGCACCAACGACGCCGGGTTTACAACCTTCATTTCAACCTTCAACTTCAACAAGTATTCGAGCAGGAACTCCAGATATTCGCGTTCAAGGTCCTATTGGAGTGGAAGTTCTACGATCATACCCTAAAGTATCACCCGAAGGACCAAAACTAGATCTTGCACTTCCTTCGGTACAGATGGAAAGATATAGTGTTATGTTTGGAGATATTTTACAGAAACCTTCCACCACCACTTCCTCATTACTTCAAAGACGCCAAGCAACACTTGATAGACTTAAAAGTGTTGAGGAAGCACTTGCGAATAAGGTTTGATATTCTTTCGATCATATTTGAACCACACTAACAACTTGAATCAGGAAGCAGAACTTGAGGCTCGTACAAGAGCACTCACAAAACGTAGGGCTACCTCACCACAACCACATCACAACAGCCCAGCATTCTCTCTCTTTCCAAGCACACCCTCAAGACAAGGCCATCGTGAAAGCTCACCAACAAGAGAGAAGTCGTCGCTAAATAGATCCAATACCTCACCCGCCGCCCTATCTCCCTCTAGACCTTCATTCGCCCCAGGTCTAGATAATGATTTCCACGCCAATCTGGTAGTCGATGACGAAACCTCGACGAGTCGGCGTGGACATGAACATAACGATTCTTCATCAAGTACATCTACTCAGAAGCCACACAAACAAGCAACGAGATCATCATCGAGCTCTCCAAGATCGAGACCCCAAATCCAATCAGCACGTACTTGGTCACCAGACGAGTCTCAACTTTTATCTCCATCGTCCGCCGAGGAATCAGAAGTCGATGCACGTTCCATGAATGGCCAAGAAAGAGAAGATCCATACACCACATCGCAATTAACAGCAACGAAATCAAGGTTTGAAGAAAGGGAACCAACATGGCAGATGATCAATTCCAAGAAACAAAATCACGGTGCCCCATCTTCGGTATCGGGATCCACGACTAGTGAAGCTAGCACGGTATCATCATCACATTCTACTTCATCATTCTCAAGTGTACCCGGTGGTTTCACTCCAAACACAATACCCATAATGCTCGAACAAGAAAAAGTGAGAGAAAGAGGTTCGAGGAAAGCATCACCAACACATATTCAATCTCCTCAAAAGGGTAGAGAAACAAAAATCTCCGTTCAATCTAATCCTGGCCCGCGACCCATTATTTCAGCCTTCAATACCACCACTCGATCATCAGAAAATGCACCTCGTCCCATCCTCAAATCTCCCATATCTGAAGATCAAAGTCTGAGACCTAGACCTCGACCTTCAATCCAACAATCATCCTCCAGCGCATCCCTCATGTCCCCTCGTCCGTCACTCCAAAAATCCCCCATGTCATCATCAACCACCACCTCGATCTCCTCGCCACGTAAAATCCCCCTTCCCGCTTCTCCTCACCCCCCACGCACCGTCTCCACCATCTCCCCCCTCCCGGAATCCTCCACCCACCAAAAACAAGAATCTACCTCCTCCATCACCCCCTCCCTCCTCTCCCTCCAATTCGACGACGACCCCGAATCCCTCTCCGTCCCCACCTCCCGCACGCGAGACCCCGAACAAAAACGTCTCGAATCCGCCGCCGGCGTCTCCATCGCACGACAAATCTCCGTCTCGAGACAACAGCGTCAATTACTCATCCCCATCAAAACCAGCGGCACAGTATCAAAACGCAATCGCGAGAAATCTCCCGCTCCCGGCTCCGGGATTCGAAGCCCCGTTTCTGGGAGTGGCAAGAAAGTTATCACGGGGGATGACGTGAATGCGAAAACTGGCTCCCCGCTAGAAAATGTAACGGAGTTGAGTTTTCGAGGGGGCGTGATATCCTCGTCCTCCTCCTCCTCCACCTCCTCATCAAAAGGACAAAACGGCAGGTCGGAGAACAAAAACGGCATCGCGATGGCAATGGGGATGGGCATTCACAGCGACATCAAAGTAAAACAGAGTTCCAAACCCTCCACGCCTACACTCGTCGTGGTCCCCGGAGTCGAAGAACAATGGGGTGCGGGAATGGCTAGCGTGGGGGGCTTGATGAGTAACAAGGAGAGGGTGGAAGCGATGATGAAGGGGAGTCGTGGGAGTCCGTTGCTGGGACAGGGACAGGGACAGGGCTGGGAGGAGCAGGGTGGGAAAATGTCAAGTGTCGCGCCCAGGACGGAGATGGGAACGGGTCATCAGCATAGGAGGAGTGAGAGGGCGGTTGTTGTGGAGGTTTGAGCTGCTGTTTGGGCTTGTGTTTGGGCTTGTGCCTATGCTTGGTTTAGGGAGGAGGAGGAGGAGGAGGAGGAGGAAAGGGCGGGGATTATATTATTCGTTTATTAATCCTTTTATATAGTTACATAGTTTACATATTTCTCATTCTTTCATTCTTTCCTTTATCCCAAGGGATCCAAAAGAAAGAAAGAAGGAAAGAGAAACGGCGCACGCAGAAAAGGACACTCACGGAAAGGAAAGGTAGGACATGGAAAGGAAGGAAACTCAAGGAAAGGAATTCAAGGAAGAATATAGCGAGCGGCATTTACGAACACATTGTTTCATATCATACATAGTACATACATACTAGATAGGATGTGCAAATATCCTCTATCATTACTTCTATTATCATCATCATCATCATCATTATTATTATTCGATATCAGGAAGGAGAGAAGGAAGAAAGGAGTTTGAAGGAGTTTGAAGAGTGATTGATTGATGATTGATGATTGATGATTGATGATTGGTTGATTGATTGATTGATTGATTGATTGGGATATAGTTGTATGTATATATATAGTTGAATAGAAATTTACAGATACAAATATACCTATCCAGTTATATCTTGTTTTGTGTGGTGTTGTATTATTTTCTTATTTTATTTTATTGTACTGTTTTGTTACATGTTTGTTTGGATATATATATATATATATATATTTATTGATATATTTTCATGTTCATTCATATTCATATTCATATTCATATTTATACCATTCCACATTTCAAATATATCATTATATCATATTATACTCTAAAAGATCCAGATTATAAAAAAGCAAACAAGCAAGCAATATACCAATAATCAATAATCCATATGTAGTTCATATATTCTACATATCCTATCCCATCCATCCCATCCCATTCATCACTTAGATAGATAGATAGATAGATAGATAGATAGATAGATGAATAAATATCCATTCCTCACTCATACTCCTCCTTTCTAACCAGCTACACCGCATCACACATATTTCGACATCATAGTCTGCTACTATTAACATGATATAAGTACCTATCTACCTTATCTCTCATTCTAACCCCATCCCATCCCCCCAATGCAAATCTTCCCCACGCAAAAGCCACTCCATCCCCCAAAATGAATACCCTCCCTACCAATGCAAAGAACAAAAACAAAAATAAAAAACAAAAACAAACAACGCCTCGTATTTATGTATGCATTCATCATTTCCCAATCATCACAACGCCTCCGCTCACCTCTCATTGACCGCTTCCCCATCCGCCCCTATTCTATCAAACCAAACCCCTCACCCCCATCCCCTCATATAGACACAGAATACAAATGCCCTGAATGCAAACCCAAAGCAGAAAACAAAACCAAAAATCATAAAAATCAAGAAAAGTAATAAATAAAATAAAAGGGTATCAACTCTCTCTCCCTGTCTCTCTCCTTCTTCTGCCTTCTTTCTCTCATTCTCCATTTCGAACTTCGGAGTCGATTATCCAATATCGATATTCAATCCTTTGAAGTGGAATTTCCAATTTCGGTTATGGCGACCAGACTAGCATCAAAAGAGACGAAGAATGATATATATGCACCATTCCTTCATTGCTCCTGCTTGTCCAGTGAACCTGAATGTGGAACCGCTCTTTCGTGATATCGTCATCAATCGAACTGCCCATCTTTCAACATAATCTCTAGAAGCTCCACCCCACTCTCTTTTTATGAAATCGAGTGTTCTCCTCTCAACAACATCCCCCTCTCCTCTTAACCTCACCCCCCTCACCCCTCTCTTCATCCCTCCTCTCCCTCCCATCCGCATTTCCATTTCCATACGTACTCCCAATCCGCACCCCCATTCCAGCATCACTCCCTCCAAGCGGTGTTCCTCCCGTTAGTCCCAGCAACCAACTCCTCCTATCCCCTCTTCCCACTCTAAAACTTCCTCCAGGCCTCATAATCCCATCAAAATATCCCGTTTGCCCCTCTATCCCCATCCCATCATTCCCCATACCAGGCGTACCGGGAGTCGCTACCGCACTTAAGAGTTGTTCTTTCATCTTATTATTCTGTTCCACAAGCTTTCTCGTGATAACTCTAAAAACTTCTTCTACGCCTTCTCCATTCTCCGCACTAACTTCATGACAACAATCCCATCCCACTTCCATACCCCAGAATCCAGAACTTCTCTTACTAGAAGGTGATCGTGCACCTTCTATCCCCATTGTGCCTTGACCGCCAGATCCCCACACTCCACCTCCGGCGCCGCCCCAACTGCCGAACCCACGTTCTCCCAAAGCTGTAGCAGGTGGTGTGCTGCCTAAAATAGATGTAACGTTTTCTGCTACATATGCAATACATCTCTCGAATGGAACTTCTCTTGCACTAGGATCTTTAGCAACGAGATCAGCTTTGGTACCTACGACATGGAGGATGATATCCGCAGGAAGATTGCGACGGAGTTCGGTAAGCCAGACGGACATTTCGGTGAACGAGGTTTGGGATGTGATGCTGTAGCAAAGGATACAAGCATTTGCCCCGCGGTAGTATAGGCGGGATATGGATCTATAGATTGGGAATCAAATGGTTAGCATGTCATCTTGTATTTGTATTGTTCTTGTTCTTATTCCCATTCCTCACTACGTGACCCTCACCCTCCCCCGTTCACACATCTTTCCCGTCAACTTCTCCTCATACACACCAACCCCCTCGCCACAAGAAACTTCCACGTCAAATACATACCTAAATCTTTCCTGTCCCGCTGTATCCCAAATCTGTAATCTCACAACTGTATCACTCTCGGCATCCACCACTCTCTTCGTCAGAAAACTGGCCCCAACCGTCGACGTCGTAGTTTTCGGATTAAATTGATTTTTTATATATCGAAGAAGCAGTGATGTTTTGCCTACACCTTGGGCGCCTAGGACTACTATCTTGGCTTCGAGGGAGGTGCTCATTTTTCTGAATTCGGGTGTATTAGGTGTGGGACGAAAGTTTGGTGACGGTAGAGATCGAGGAGTCGAGTATGTGGTCTCGGAAGAGGTATAGGTAGGTAGTTATGAGGTGACCGTATGGCGTATGTAAATTGTAGATGGGCAGATGGGTGAATATCTCGCAATATCTTCAGTACGAGAATGAAGTTCCGCACTGATTCCTCTTGATCGTCCTTTCACAATATGACTGCAAAATCCCACGATATAACGCCGCAGATTATTTCCTTCCAGCCGTTTGTTCGATTCTTCACCTGTCTGCTCGAATTCTTTCCAAACCAAATATAAATATGTATCTCTTCTCTTCGCGCACCCTTCTTCGATGTAGCTCCAAAATTGCGTTCGGGAATTCAGCAGATTTGCAATCAAATCTTCCTATCCCCGTCTCCTAATATATCACAAATTCTCAACAGATGCCCTACGTATGCTTCCAGTTTCCTACTCTTCTGCGGTTCTCCTTTTCCTTTCTCCTCTCCTTATCACATATATCTTCCGTCCTCTCGTCTGCAAATGTGGTATTTCGTTGCTAACCTAATCTTCGTTTCCTCGTTCGTTTATCAAGTATGCCTATTCCTACTCTTTGTTGTTTGGATGCGTCTGGTTCGTTCCGTACCGTAATGATTCATACACTCATATCGCTCTCGTTCTTGTTCTTGGAGTTGTTCCTCGTATCATATCTTCATTTCTCATTCCATTTCGGTTCATCCTATTTCAGCTCATCTCCCAATCCAAACCCTAAAGTTGTATGTCGTAGATCCTTCACTCCAATCCAATCTAAAAATCCGAATCGAATGCAATCCAAATATTCACTCTCTGCTCTAATGTCCTTTCGACGCAATCGTAGGTATGCAAATCAACCCTAACCAATCTATCTGCCCAAATTCAATTTATCTGCGTATTCAAACTCGGCCTCTTCCACATTATCTATTCCAAGCCCTCGACAAACCCGTCTGAAACCAATACAAGCAAGTACCTAGTAAGCCGCACAAACAGACAAACGAACAAACAGATAAATAAATCAAACCGACGATAGCAAACTCGACGAAAGTTGTACAATATACACCAAACTTGTTATATGTCTTCACTCAACAACCAAGATTAAGTTCCGAATTCGAAAACACAAAACCAAAAAGAAAAGAATGTGTGCTAGATAACCTTCATTTAAATTATCGAAATTGCTTTTTGTATTACTTTACCATACCATACCATACTATACCATACCACTTTCTCAGACCTCTCTTAATATCAAGTCTGACAGGTAGACCCAGTGAGCCTGGAATCCACCATGACGCATCTAAGAAATCCCACCCCTAGAATAAACCCCCCTCCCCCCTTCGCCCCCAAACCCTAGAAACTAGGGGGGTAAAAAGTAGAAATTTAATGCCCAGAGATCAATGCCTAGGTATTAACAACAATCCCTGTCGTTGAAACCAAAATGAAGAATCCCGAGTTTCTTGTTCTGTGCAGCACACATGACTTTCAAAGGTCCTCATAGTCGTTATGTCGATCAGCTGTTATGCATTCTGACGCAAAGAAGATTCAAAGTAGTTTAATCTTCAAATTTGCGGTGTGAAACATATGTACTCATGACTGCATTTAGCAAGTATTTCAAGGTATGGCTTGGAATGAACGGGCTGATGGGCTACGCAGCACGTTTCGGCTTAAATCGGGCCAGGGCATGAAATCGGTAGGAGCGTTTGGTCCGAGTCGTACAGAGATGGCATTTTACATTCTACTATACAAAGCAATATCTAAGTTCCGCGTTATTGGTCTTTTATTTAAAATATATGCGAATGTCTCGAATTATGTGTACAAGTCTTCTTTCTCTATTCAAAAAGTTGCACCCCACAGATACCCACCTTTCTCCAGATATCTTCTACAACTTCACAACTTCGCCTTGGCCTTCTCTGCTGGATTCGCCAGAGGATCATAAATCGTCATACCCTATTTAGCCATTAGTTGCCACTCATTTTTCATACCATATCAAGAGAGGATGCTTACCAAAGTATCAATCGGAACCATGGTAGTATGTGAGCTTAATCCTCTAGTATCGATCAATGTCGGATTCAACTGATCCACACTCGAACACCCAATCAACCTCATATTCATTTCCATCTCATCTTTCAATAACTGCATAGCACGATCTACACCCGCCAGTCCATACGCACTCATAGCATACAAGAAAGGTCTCCCGATTCCAACACCTTTAGCACCTAAGCAGAGTGCTTTAATAATATCCGTGGATCTTCTGATGCCTCCATCAATATAAATCTCGATACGATTTTCCCATCCACGCTCTCGAAGAACAGGCATAACTTCTGCGAGAACTTCGATACCTGATCGAGCAAAATCTAATTGACGACCTCCGTGATTAGAGAGTACAACACCTTGAACGCCACATTCGACAGCTCGAATAACATCTTCTACACGTTGAACACCCTTGAGAATGATAGGCATCTTGGTAATAGATTTGAACCAAGGAATGTCTTTCCAACTTAAAGCTGGATCGATAAAACTCGAAATAGCTCTTGCTGCACCTTGAGAGTTGTCCGTGGATTGTCCACTGCTGGATTGAACAGAAGATCCTACATCCGTAAACTTTGAACGCATATCCTTTTCTCTTCTTCCTAATTGGGGAGCATCGACTGTGATGAATAGACCCTTGCAACCACGATGTTCCGCATGTTGAACAATCTTCTTTGTGATCTCTCGATCCTTATTGACGTATAATTGTAACCATTGAACCTGCTGTCCCTCTGCAGCATCCATGATTTCATCAAACGAGCAAGATGCTAGAGTTGGAATCATTTGTATAACATTGTGTTTCTTCGCCGCTCGTGTAAAGACGACCTCTCCTTCGGGGTGTCCAAGCTTTCCTAGTGCTGTAGCTGTCACATAGAAAGGGATATCGACTTTCGTTCCAAGCATAGTTGTAGTAAAATCGACCTTTTCCACATCCACAAGAACCTTTGGTCGGAACCATATCTTATGAAAGGCGGAGTGGTTCTCTCGCATAGTCTACTAATGTCAGCAGTTGCATCAATTCCGAAGATAGGGAGGGTCTGTCTTACAATTTCATCATCGGCACCGCTGGAATAGTATGCCCAAGCAGTCTTCTTCATAACCCTTCTTGCCACAGACTCGAAATCCATCAAATTGTAGCATTGCTCTAGAATTGGCATACGTGCAATTCTCTCTTGTCTTGCCTCTTCATCTGGATCGAATTCCTTCTCTTCCTTCTTGACTGTGCCCATATCAACTGGTCCTAGATGTCTCGATTTGTCTAGGAATTTATCGAGAGTGTCAGGGGGGTGAATTGGCTCGTATTCTTCTGTAGCATCTTTGCCCTATATTACAAAGTTAACTTTTGTGCATGCCATTGACCTTTCTGTGGGATATTTACGGCATATTTGAGAATGATCTTAGGCCCACCAGGATGTTCTGTCGATGTGATTAATATATAACTTCCTGAATACTACTTATATCTTCATACCAGGTAAGAATTCCGTAACATCATAAGCTTTTCCCTATATCAAGAATTAGTCCTTGCCACTCCATACCACGAGGCAAATACATACATGAACAATAACCCAACACGACTCTTTCGAGTTATGTTCTGCGACTTCCTGTCCAGTTAACTTGGCCATCTTTTCGTTTAGCTTGTGATAATCCAATGTCTTGATATCCTCGGAATCGCAATCGCAATCACAATTGAAAAAAATATGTGCAGCTGAGAGAAAGATAACAAATTCAAAAGAGATTCTAGAAAAAAGAGAAACCCGAGTGTATATACTATCAAAGTCAATAGTTAGACCTAAAGATAGCTTATGGAGTAGCCTCGGGAATAGTAGTATCTATTGAGGTAAAGGAAAAGAAAGGAAAGGGATTCCATGCTCGGCATATCCAGCCTCTCAATTCACATTCGCCTTTTCGGATGAATGGCGAACGAATGAAACACAGAAGGTATACCGGCTTAGGAGATATTCACCGTCCGAGCAAGCATGTATATTTGTAATTGTATTAATGCGAAATTGGAGATTGCAGCTGGATTGAAATCTATCTTCATTGCATTATCTTTACAGAAATTCATGTGGTTCTAGAAAATATTTAAGGAAGGTTGCATTTCGAAATATAAATACAAATGATACTTTGACCCTGATTACGACTTATCTCCGTACCTTGACGAGAGAGAGGAGAGCCCAGCGGCCCCACCGACTTCGGATGCGGGGAGAGCTACGGTAAGGATGAAAGTGGTTTGACCAATGATATGTTAGGTATTAGATACCTAGGTATCATTTGTTTCTACGATTGGAGTTATTTGGACCCGTTGATACAATCTAGGACTTGGAATACTATCTCACTACCGTCTTGAAGTACCGAAGGACTACGGATATCTTCCAAATGGGGGCGAGTATCTTGTCAGTAAATAAAATTCAAAGCACATGTTATACCCTACAAGTCCTGAGCTGTGGAAAGTTATACATCATGTCTTACCTCATGTTTTCTTGGGAATAGACTTGTCAATCGCCATGAAGTTCATCATTCATAGATCTACAACTTCAACTGGATTTCCTACATCGGTTGATGACTGATAAACAACCGCAGCATTGATCATCAAACCACCATTTCCACCAGCAGGACCAACCATTAATCTTTGCCATAAAATACCCTTTACTCCATACCAAATCACTTTCGCAGCATCTATCCATGCCAAACTTGGTATCAAGTCCATGATTATACCTCCTCTCTTCCTTTCCATGAGCCTCTCATAAGCTTCCTGTCCCTTATCCCAAAACACAGCTTCGCGACCATGTCCGGAATGTATATGCCCAAATACATGAAGTCTAGGTCTGACCTTCCATATCTCTTCCAGCAAGGATTTGCAACCTAGATTGATATCGAGGTGGTGGCGAGGTGGACTGTGTGTAATTAAAATATCTGTATCTTTCGGTATACGATTTTCCCACGGCGCAAGATGCCTTTGATATTGAAAACTGGCAAGTGAGAATATGATTAGCACTCAAATTATTTTTCAGGGATTGCGGGCTTCTTACGCAAAATCAGAACCACCACATTGCGGAATATCTGGTGATCCATAAACCTTTAACTTTCTCCCGCCTTTGAATTTCAATGTGATAGCTTTGCTCTCCAAGTAATGTAAACTTTTAAACTTCAGCTTCCTCTTCTTGTCTTCTTCTTTCCTCGATTTGGGATCAAAATAACTATCATGGTTTCCACAAATAAACACTTTCTCTCTATGTGGCTGTTGGTCCAACCAATCTATCTGGGCTTGTATTTCTTCCACCGTACCCGCATTTGTCAAATCTCCTGCATGTATTAAAAGATCACCAGGTGGAATTGGTATTGTATTGCAATGCGTATCTGAGATACAGACAACTCGAACAGGAGGCTTGTTTCGGGGAGGTTTGAAAGATGTGCCACGGAAATAGAGGAGGATGGTATGGAGGTAGAAGATCATTGAGCGAAGAGGAGATTCGAGGAGAGAATCAAGAGGAGTTGGAGGATCAAATATATTGTTCCGACGAGACCACGGGTATATGGTCTTTTGCTTAGGTGCCATGATTGAAGTATGCGGGCGCCAGTTGGCGGACATCAGGTAGTTTTAGCAATTTGCTGTTGAGCGTTGATCAGATATACCTATGATCAGGACAATCCTCAATTAAGAGTTGCCTTTCAATATCCAGGATAAAGTAGACACATTTCCATAAAGCAAAGCCGATATTGGAATTCACTAGAGAAGGCAGTTATTAGTTACCTGTCGATTGTACCCGTTCCTGGTCAATCGACACTCAACCGGAATAAAACGTGGGGTGTGTGCACTCTGCACTCTGGAAGTTCACCAAAAGCCAAGCTTCAAAATAGGTGACGTGACAAGGATAAATTCAGGATCTCCAAATTTAGCGACGATTTCGTCATGGATGTTTGATGGCTTGGCTCGATTGAAGCTTGTGTGAATATTATCATTCAACAAAGAGCTGGTTATTTACCAGCTTTTCACCTCTTGTTGATTCTCTATCGTCTCCTATATATCTGCGGAAACTTGAGTCGATCAAAGTTCTTCTGGCAGATTTGCATCGACATTATGGCTTCGCTCAAGAGTATTTACGAGCCAAATCCAGCTCTTGGAAATGCTCCAAATACCAATTTTGAGTAAGTGAACAGGAGGGGTTGATGAACATTAGCTGATCAGATTTTATACAGAGTCGACTTCGTAATCGATTATCGTTTTGCTACTACAAGTATGACACCCCAATGCTCACCATCCAATTTCGCAGATAACTAATTTACCCCGCCAGACAAAGTCGAAGCCGAAGCACAATTCGTGAAGCTTATCGAAGCTCTCAACGATGTTGGATTAATGACTGAAGTGCGAAATGGGGATAACTGTTCACTTCTTATATTTATCAAAGCTGCCTCGGACAGACATCTACGATCCGAAGTATATCGCTCCAGAGTACAAGATTGGTTATATGGAGTTCGAACAGCTGCACCAGAAAAGAATATGCAAGAAGCTTTGAGTGCGGAACCAATGACTGAAGCTGAACGATTAAGATTGGTCTACCTATTAATCACAAAACCGAGAAATGAAGGTGGTGCTGGAATCACGCCTAAGAGAGGGGAGTGGCAGGGAGTCGAATCGATATTTCCTCTTCATGACCATGAATTCAATAAGGCTTGGATTAAGGAAATTACCTCCAAGTATCTTCTCACAACCAAGGATCTAGAGGATATCAAAGACAGATTTGGTGAAAAGATTGGATTCTATTTCGCCTTTCTACAATCTTATTTCATGTTTCTGGTGTTTCCTGCAGCATTCGGATTTTGCGCTTGGGTTCTCTTTGGTCAATACTCCCCAATATATGCCGTAGTCAATGGCTTGTGGGGAATCGTCTACACGGAATATTGGAAGAAACAAGAAACCGATCTCGCAGTACAATGGGGTGTTCGAGGAGTGTCCAAAATTCAACACAAGAGACCTGACTTTAAGCACGAAAGGGAGATCAAGGATCCAGTTACTGGAGAGCAGATTAAGTTTTACTCTCCAGTGAAAAGATTAAGTCGTCAATTGCTGCAAGTACCTTTCGCACTCTGTGCTATTGTTATACTGGGAAGTTTGATTGCAACTTGCTTTGCAATCGAGATCTTCATTTCTGAAGTTTACAATGGCCCATTCAAGGCATATTTGGTATGTATATTGATCATGAATTTTAACTCAGCTAATAATAGATAGACTTTCTTACCAACTGTCATCCTGACAGTTTTCATGCCAACACTGTCTGTCCTTTTGACAGGATTTGCCTCAAAATTGACAGATCTTGAGAATTATGAAACTACTGACGGTAAGTGACTATCCCATATGCCCTAGTTATAATACATCTAACCTTCAATAGCACATGATGCGGCAATGGTTCAAAAAATCTTCGTTCTCAATTTCATAACATCTTACATGCCAATCTTCCTCACAGCATTCGTCTATGTTCCATTTGCTCAACACATCGTCCCTCATCTCGATATTTTCCAAATGGCCGTGAGACCATTTGCGGAGAATGATGAACAAATGACAGCACCAAAAGCCGGATTCCAAATTAATCCTGACAGATTAAAGAAACAGGTCATCTACTTCACAGTTACAGCACAAATCGTCAATTTTGCTCTTGAAGTTATCGTTCCATACGTCAAACGTAGCGTCTTCAGAAAATACAAAGAAGTCCAAGCTGATCGTGCTGCCAAACGTGGAGGTTCCTCGGCACCGGAAAGTGATCATCCAGAAGAGGTTGCATTCTTGACCCGTGTAAGAAACGAAGCCGAATTGGGTATCTATGACGTAACATCAGATTTCCGAGAAATGGTTATTCAATTCGGTTACTTGTCTCTCTTCTCAGTCGTTTGGCCTCTTACTGGTCTTTCTTTCTTGATTAATAATTGGATTGAACTTAGAGGTGACGCTCTTAAGATCGCACTGGAAACTCAACGCCCTGTTCCATGGCGCGCGGATTCTATAGGCCCATGGCTTGATGCATTGGGTTTCTTGTCATGGTTGGGAAGTCTTAGCACGGCAGCTCTGGTGTACCTATTTTCCGGGGATGGATTTGGACCGGATGGAACACCAAGTAAAATGACGGGATGGGGAGTGCTGCTTACTATGTTTTTCTCAGAACATATCTACTTAACTTTGAGAAGAGGTATTCGATTGGCATTGAGTAAAATCGATAGTCCGGGATTGCAGAGAGAAAGAAGGGAAAGATTTGCAGTTAGGAAGTATGTTGTTCCTGCCATGTTTGCTTCGTTTGTGCCCCTTTTCTCGTTCGTTTAAAGGGTGTTTATAGCGTTTCTTCTTGAGGCTAAACTAACTGTGGGTGTGATAGACAATATCTACAAGAAACGATATCGCAAGAAGCTGCGGAGAAGGCTGCTTCAGGAGGAATTACAAATGGGGAGAAGATTAGTAGAAATACGCTAGAGGAAGAAGCAAGAGAATCGAGTTTGAGAGGTCATGGAACTGCAGAGGAGAGGTATGTTTCAGAAGTTACTGAATTGCGTAAAATGGTATCAAAGACTAATGAAATCAATAGATTCTGGCAGAGACAAAGAGGACAAGGGGAAACCATCGCGATGGGAAGAAGTTTTATTAACAAGACGGCTCCGAATGTGGAATCGAAGAAGGAACTTTGATTAGGTTTTTCGTTTTCTTGTTCTTGATGACTTTGTGGTTGGATGGGGAAGGAAAAAGGGGAAAGTCGGAAATGGAAATGGCAATGAAAATGGAAATCGACAGGGAAAGAAAAAAAGCGAAGTCGAAGCGAGGGGGATATTCATATGGCTTTTTGTGCGTTTGATCATTTTCAACCTTTTTTTTTTTTGCTGGGTCTGGTTCTCTTGATAGTATCTATCTAGGTATGCATAGCGTGGAATAGTAATATGAATGGAATGAAATATTGCAATATTGAAAGAGAAAGAGAAAATGAAAAACGAATGGGATGTGCTCCTTTTATAAATCAATCAAGCAAGCAAGTAAGCAAGCAACTATATACCACACTCAGTATCTAAATACAAAATCCTCAATACTCAACACGCAAGCCAAAAAAAAAGACATCTTGACCTTGGTGTGTACTCCTTAATATCCTCCTTAATATACTCCTCAATATATTCCTCAATATCCATACTCCCGAATATAACATAACATAATATAATAACAACTACTCAAGTATAATATTCCAAATATCAAACCTCAAATCCCGTATTCCAGTTCCAGTTCCAGTTCCAGTTGCAGTTCCAGGTCCAAATCCAGGTCTAAATCCAGATCTAGTTTCAGCTCTAGTTCCAGCTCCTATTCAATCAATCCAATGAAATCCAATGAAATCCAATGAAATATTCAGACCCAAATCAAATCAAATCAGTCAATTCTAATCAGTCAATCCAAATCAATTTCAGTTCATGCTCAATACCTATTCAAACCGAAATCAATTCCTATTCAATCCAATCAGTCAATCCAAATCCTATTCAATCAAACCCATCCAGTCAATCCAATCCATCAAATCCATCCACCCAATCTAGATCCTCATATGCATTCCTCCATTCTCCATTTCAGCTCAATCCTATACATCTTATCTTATCTTACTGAATTCAAATCATCCCATCTCGTCTTATCCCAACCCTACAAATCCCATCTCATCCCATCCCATCGAATTCAAATCATTTATCTATCCAGAAAATATCCAGAAAATATCCAGTAGGCATCCAGAAGGCATTCAGTAGGCATCCAATAAATATCTAGTAGATATTCAATAGACATTTAGTAGATATCCAGTAGGTATCCAGTAGGTATCCAGAAGGTATTCAGAATCCAGACCCCAGAATTTCGATTTCCAGAATTTCGACTTCCGACTTTCATCTCATCCAATATCGCTCACCCAGAATGTTCAGGAATTTCTTCTTCTTTCTTTCTTTCTTTCTTTCTTTCTTTCTTTCTTTCTTTCTTTCTTTCTTTCTTTCTTTCTTTCTTTCTTTTCGGGCGCCTTTGCATTCGCTGTTTTCTTTATATCTTTATCTTTGTACTGATATTGATATTGATATTGGTATTGATATTCATTCATATTCATGTTTGCGAGTACATGTGTGAGTGAGTGAGTGTGTGTGTGTATATGTCGTTATTATCATAGGTAGTCATATTTGGGATCCCCTCCCCCTCCGCACCCTAACTCCTCAACCAACTACTCCCCAAAATTCCCCCACTCATACTCCCATTACTCCCTCTATTCACATTCCCCGCCGCGCCTTTCGAAGCCGATCCTACACTTCCACTACTCCCCCTATTCCCACTCCCACTCCCACCACCAGCTAACCCACCATCTCCCCCCAAAGTCCCCGGTCTAATCCCCACATCCACCTCCAATCCCGACTGCACCCCCACCAACGGACTACTAGGCGTACTCGCCGTACTCCCATTACTCCTCACGCTCGCCGCCCTCCGATGTCCATACCCCATCAACCCACTCAGCGAACTCCCACTTCTTTCCCTCAGCGCCTCTCCCTCTTTCTGCACCGGACTTTGTGGTCCCCTCGCACTCCTATTCCTACTCAAACTAGAAGGAAAACTAACCATCCTCCCCTTTCCTCCCGAGAAGCCAAAGGCTGCTCCTAACCCTCCTCTTTCTTTTTTCTCAATATCCGTGCCTAATATCTTCGACGCTTTAGCATTACCAGATGACGAATCCGTACTTATTAAATCCTCCACGAAACTACTTGGGAAAAGTCCCCATTTGCCTTTACTAGTACAACCACTCCAACACCATTGATCTTGCCATGCATACCCCACACTATAGATTCTCTCTCCTTTCGAAAATTTAAGCCATCCTTCTTCTTTATCTTTCGGCTTCCAATCCCATTTCGCGACTGCTTGAAGAGAACTCTGTGGATTCATTTTTACTTCATCTCGCGGTGGCGAAAGGAAAGAAACAGCATTGGCGGGAAAAGAGCCTCGTTCGCCATCATGATATCCTATACACCAAGTACCCCCGAAGCGTTCCGGAAACGTAATCCCCACAATTTTCGCACCGTCTGCAAAATGCATACTTTGTTGACCGTCAGGATCGCGAAAAGTTTTGGCGACAGGTTTTGGATGATGCGTCGTTATTGCGTGAGCAGTAGGACGAGATGCTACTTTGGATGTGATCTCAGACATGCAATAGGGAGAAAATTTAGGTTCGTGAATTGTGAATTGAATGTCGAAATCAAGGACTGAAGGAGGTTGAATTCCGTAGACGGTTGTAATACCTGCTACTTGAGGAAGGGGACGAGGATGACGGGCTAGGTGACGAAATAGAGATGTTACGCTAAAGAAAACGGTTGCATCGTGTTCTTCAACTGTGCGATGATCTTCAATACAAAATATACACTTGTTTGGAATGTTAGTTATTCGTTTTAGTTCAGAACGCAGGAAGAAAGGAATGATTACATACGCCATAGATAGGATCATCTATTGAAGACGTTTTAAGATGACATTTGGAAATAAATCGTTGACGCCATCGAATACCGGTATTAGAATATATACCAGAACCTATACACGAAATAAGATTAGCATCCTTCCCACGCTCAAAAAGCATTTTGCACATACGATCAAGCAACCTATCCTTTTCCACATCATTCCATCCAACCTCATAGGCACACTTAATACATCTCGCACTCAGAGTAGCACTATAATGGCCCTGATCCTTCTGTCAGTACAGACAAACCTAAGTATTAGCAAGGAGACGCGAATAGTATCTGACCAATGAAATAATGAACAAAGTAAAAGTAAGAAGAAATCTACATACCGAAGGTCTCTTAACGACTTTAAACCCAGTTTCCCCTCTAATCATTGCTTTAGCTCCGGGACAAAATCCATCGAATTTATAAAACGAACTATCATGCCTCATAGGACAATCTATACTTTTCATTGAAGGAGTGACTCTATGCATTGCTAATTGACTTTGACTTCTATTCTCTGGAATGGGATTCGAAGGCTGTATTGGTACTGGTTCGGGATCTTGAGTTGGTACAACTTCTAAACCACTTTCGATAACAGGAACAACTTCCAATCCACCTTCAACTCCATTGCCAAAACCAGGTAGTTGTAATGTGGTAGCTAAGGATGTAGTAGAGGTTGGAGTTGTGGTTGCAGGTGCCAGTCTACCCCATGAAGCTGGGTCATGGATTTCAGACATTGGTGGACTGACTGGACTTTTCAACCATAACGAAGTTCCTGATTCCGAAGGTTGATATTCGCTAATGCCAGGACTGGCTGGCGTCGCTGATATTGGCGTGGGGGGTTTTAGTGAGGCAGTAGGGAAATATTCATTATCTGGTTTCGTCGTACTCGAAGATGCAGGTGTAGCATCTCGATCTCGTAATGATCCATTTCTCGAACTTCCTCCCTGAGAAGTCTGACCTTGACTTCTTTTCCGTCCTATTAGATCATCATATCCACTTCCTCTAGAACTATGCCTCTCTATCGGACTACTAGCTGACGAATATGAAGACCAAGGAGATGTAAGCATCGATCCATCGCTAAAAGTCTCGCTTGCCCTATTCTCTTCTATCGAGGAGACTGATTTCCGTATTTCGTTATGAAATGACATACGAGACTGTTTTCTCCGTTCCAGGAATTCCTCATTCGCATTTAGTCGTTGATATACTAGTTCTTTGGCTATTAGTATTTGCTTTGAAGGTGGTGTTTCATATCCATATTTTGGAGGAGGTGTAGCTTGTATCGATTCTTGATAACTTGGTTCTGGAGATGGACCACGAGGAGGAGTCCTTGGTCCTACATCGAAATATGGTCCGCTCAGACTCCATGGATCTTCCTTTTTGGGAGACCTTTTCGGAGGATCAGATAACGAAACTTTATGATCAATAACTTGTCTATCAATCTGGGACGGCAGTGATGAATATGGCGGAGCGCTAGGATTTATAGAACCTGTTACCGGTGGTCTTCTAGGAGATTGTTCCATAATCGGTACATGTGCAGGACTCAATGGGGGAGACCTATCCTCCATCCGAAAGTCATGACGATCCGTCTGATCTATCCGATCCCGCAGATTGTTGAAGATAAAAGTACATTCCGTCCGACATCTTTTCGATTGTTGTTTGACATTTGTAAAAGCTGATGCTTGAAAAGATTCGAGGTTTTCATCGAAATCCTGACATTCATCAATTTGATCCCTCAGATCTATCTTAACCTCTTTCAATCGATTTTGAATAGATTCTACCACATCATCAGTCAATAACTCCCATATATTTCCATATTCCTTAACATCACTTACCATCCTCCATCAAAGCCTTGGCAAAATCTTCACCATATGATCCTGCAGCATCTCTATAAGCATCCGCGATAGCCTGACTAGTCTTTTCCAAATTCTTCTGTAAATTTTGTGCCAACTCCGATATATAAATTAAATTACTCGGCCCTTCGCTCGCAGATCTCGCAACCCTCTTCGTTAACTTTATCCCCGCATCTAGTGCCTTTATGATACCCTTTATGGGAGCCGCAAAATCGTCCGACATGTGGGCGGGAGCTTGCGAGCGTAGCTCGCGAGTAACGAATATAGCTTCGAATAGTTCGTATATAAATATATATTCCAGACGCACCACTTCACCAAGGACGGGATGACCCTAATTCGCAAACCGTCTCCTAGCCCGACCGTCTCACGCAGAGGCCACTCCACTTCCACTTGTACTAATCTTTATCGACAAATCTTGCGCCAGTAGTATTCGGGGTCGTGTTTATGTTCGCTTTCAATCGATCAATCAAAGGAGATATGCGTAATATCGGCACCCGTTCCCGTAATATCCAATCCAATCCCTCCTCCCAAATAACGAAATCTCAATCCGCGATACTGTATGGAATATAAAGAAAGTAGTGGTCAAATGTATATACTATTTAAAACAATAAATTGAACGATTGCGCAAGTGATCATGTATGCTGGCACGGTAGCACTTCGAATGGATGATGGTGAGGTCTGTGTCTGCAGGAGAAATGAAGAGCGCGAAAGGATGACTGCAGGTAGTTGTGTTGTGTTGCGCTGAGGCTCTTTGCATGACATTACAATATAATATGTATGTGTAAGTAACCTCTTACTCGGTAGGTATTACTCGTCCACGGGTCGCTCAGTCTCTTGGGGAAGTATAGATGTATGCAGTATGACCATACTCGGAAAAGTAACCGTCCAATATCGAATCCACACAATTTACTGGCAGAAGTATGATCGATAGTGCGATTCTAGAAGTATGTATGGCTGGCTATACAGATGTAAAAGGTACGATGCCCGAAAGTCCGTTTCCGTTGCCCTGCCTTGCTACCCTCGTCTTGCCCTGCTAGCTGCTGACACACACGATACGTAGATAGCCTTGAGAACTTAACTTTACCAGAAACCTACCAGAAACCTACCAGAATCTTTGCTTTTTCCATCGAGCTTTCTTTCTTTCCCAAGTGTCCATAGGATGCGAGCTCATATCCTATCGAAATAAAGCTTAGGAACTAGAGGTCCCCACGTACCACTTCCTGTCAGCCCTGATCCACGCTGTGCTGCAAAGTGAGCACAGCCCCTGGACCGATTATAAGCCCTGTGCTCTTCTATCTGCTACCTATACAAGTAAGTAACTACGCAGGAGAGCAAACTCTTCGGACTCTTCTATCCCATTCACAAACTTATATAATACCTTTGAAAAGTTTCCCAACAAAACATATGCAATTAAATGAAGTTTCAAAACTATTGGAAAGAGATTGTCATCAAAAGAAAATACACAGGAAAAAAAAAGAATCTTTTGACACAATACAAATTAGAGTAAAAAGGTACCTAGCTCTAGCGGCTAGTCTTTCCACAATTTGACAGAACAGGGGGCCCACTATCGGATCAGCCCGGTCGTTCGTCCCATCCACACCAAGGTATCCCTCCATCCAAGGTATCCAGATTTATGTTTTGGATTTTCTATGAAAATGTGTCTGCGTAAATACGTGTATATGTATATATATACGAAGTAAAAGCGATTCACGATTCTCGAATGAATTGTTTAAATCTATTGTTGTGATTCTCATTTCTGCCTTTCTTTCTTTCTATCTATCTATTTACATCAAATTCATTGACTGTAATCAATTCTGATTGCTCTCATCTTCATCTGATCTTATCACATTGAAAAAACGCATTCCAATCCTTTTACTCCCTTCACATTGTCTGAATCAGAACTGGATGTGCGCCTGCAAATCCCATACTAGTCATATATGTAAAATAAAATTAAAACTCAACTCCAATGTACAAGAAGAGTCAAAGAAAAACTAAAGCTTAAAAGATTGCAACGGCAATTGCGATGGCTTGAGTGTCAGAGTGCGAAATGGAAATGCTAATCTCTTTCACTCCAGCTTTCTTTGCTGCGGTTGCGGCATCACCGTGAAGCTAGATGGTCGTTAGCGAAAGTTAATCGGAAGTGAAGGGCTTTAAACTTACCGAGACAATTGGTGCACCCTTTTCATTGTTGGTGATTTCAATTTCCTTCAAAGGTGCTCCGGCTCCCTTACTTGCAACACCGAGAGATTTGAAGACTGCCTCCTTTGCACTCCACTTTCCAGCGAAAGATGCTTGTGGGCTTGGTGCTTGCTTGCAGTAAGCAACCTCCTTCTCGGTGAAGTTTCTCTCCAAGAATGTGTCATTCTCAATGTTGATGGCAGAAATATCCTCTACATCAACACCAACTTTGTTATTAGCTGTTGCAGCACCCTTTGCAAGTGACTCAACCATTTGCTTTGTGCTCTCTGTCTTTTCCTTGTTGATAACCTTCTTGGCAAAGTTTGGAGCATATGTGAGAGCAGAAGTCTTCTTATCGACTGATACACGAGCTTCTGGGTTGAGGAAGACAGCTCCTTGTTGCTCGTCAGTGTAAGGTGAGTGATCCTTGGCAACGAACAAGGTATTTGTGATCATTCCGTTGTGGAAGTAACGGTAGGCCTTCTTTTGTCTGGCTTCAACCTTAGTGCAGTATGCCGAGTATGTTTGCTCGTCAAGAGTAGCGAACAGATACTTTGGATGAATACCAATAGCTTGGGCACCCTTTTGACCGAAACCGAAGGAAGTAACAGAGAAAGCCTTGATACCATCGGTTTGAATGCTGCGACTAGGGTAAACAATGTAGTCGAACTTCTCCATAACTTGGTCGACATTGTCGGCATTTCTGTTACCAGGAACTAAACCACTGTTGAGGACCTGCAAACAACCGTTGAACATCCAAGCTCCAGCAGCACCCTTTGGATGTCCTGTCAAGTACTTTTGAAAGATACCCATGACAGCGTTACCCTTCTTACGACCAAGATGCTCCATTTGTTGGCAAATGACTGAAGACTCGTTCTTGTCATTTGCAACAGTTGAGGTACCGTGGAAAGATGCAACATCAAGGTCATCAATGGTAAGACCCCAGGTAGCAAGGGCACCACGGAGAGGTGCGATAGTAGGATCTTTCTTCCAGAAGTTGTTGCCAAGACTGTTCAGAACCTCACGCTCTTGACGTAAAGCCTCGCGCTCGATATGTTGTGCTCTGTCTTGGGCATATTCGCTTTCGTTAAACTCTCCTCCTTGAGCCTTCATGGCAGCAATCTCTTCATGGAGATACTCAAGTTCAGATTCTTGCCATGCCTTGATGTTCTTCTTGCGAAGCTCAACTTGTCTGCGACGGTACTTGATATCCAAAAGAGGCGATGGGAACTTGCCAGGGTTTTCACGAGCGGTTGTAAGAACACCTTGACCTGGAGCAGGAACGGAGCGTCCGATCTTGTCGGTAGCAGTGGTTGTCAACCCAAGGATACCATAGATTGGTACACCCATGTCAAGAGCAAGTCTGGCAGTCATGATGACTTGGATACCACAACCTTGTGACTCCATGAAACCATTTCTGGTGGTGGTGGTAGGACGAGACATCTCTTTAGGTGTACGGCCATGGGCCATCTCATCAACAGCATTACTGGTAGCTTTCATGTTGGCAAACTCGTATGAACCTTCCTCTTGGAAGTCATCGAATCCACCAACAAAACAAACACGAGCCTTTCCTTCGACAATAGTCTCGTAACCAATATCGACGGATTCGACTGATGTGGCGCAAGCACCGACAGGAGTCTTGATTGGACCAGTGGAGGACATCAACAACATGTTGACCCAAGCACTCATGGTGTTAATGAAAGATTCTTGGAGAATATCCTTTTGAAGTGGTTTGTCCAGGAAGCGGTCTTTGTACATTCCTCTAAGGGCAGTAGTACCACCAATACCAGATCCAATGCAGTTACCCACTTCGGAGATATGCACATATTGATAGAACTCATATGGGTCAGTAATACCAGATGCCAAGAGAGACTCGACAGTGCAGACAAGGACGAACAAGGTAACGGGATCGACTTGTGAGATGATATCATCTGGAATACCATATTTCTTAGCATCCCATCCAGTTGGGATTTGACCGGCGACAAGTCGATCGAAGCGAAGGGCCTTTGGAATGAGTAGTGTGGCACCCTTACGCATGCGGACGAGATACTCTCCAGATTCTGGGATCTCAAAGATCTCAGCCTTATCGCCGTGCTCACGTTTGAATTCTTCTGCAGTTTCTTTGGAGGTCTCAAATGGTTCCAAGTCCTCTTCAATAACGACTTCTTGAAGTAATTGCTTCTTCTCTGGATTGTAGCCATTGAAAAGTTCAGGCTCAATCAAACGGATACCAGAGTGTTCGAGAATGTACTTCTCGTATTTGGCCTTAATATCTTTGTCGTCAACTGGATCTCCGGTCTTGGCATCAACCCATCCCGCGTATGATTTTCCTTTGATGTTACCATTGTGGTTCTTGATAAGACCCATGATCCAGGCCATCTCAACACAACCTTCCAAAGAGAACTGACCGTACGCCTCCATTTCCCATCTAGTACGTGAGTTACCCCATGGTCCAACCTCAGCGAAACCAGTAACGACAACAACCTTTTCGAGATCAACCATACCCTTGAGGTTTTCATTAAGTGGAGCGACTTCCTTCTTCCAGTCTGGCAATTGTGGGAAGTCGTACTTGATGTTTGCACGTGGCTCAATTGTGACCTTTTTGTAGAGGGCTTCACTGTCCTCACCATTGACAATCTTGTTCTCAATAGCAGTTTCCTTGGTGACAGCTTGTCGGACTTCGCTAGTCTCCATGATATCCTTTCGGAGTTTGGTCATCAAGTCCTTGAGGTTAGGAATGAATTGTAAACCACCGTTCAAATCAGCAAAAACTGGCTCGGATTGACAGAGATCAACAATGTTAGGGGCCATAAGACCCAACAAGTTGAAAGCCATCTCTTGTTGAGAGAATGTGCGTACGCCGTAAGCCTCGACACCTTCTGCAACAATGTTATTACCAGACATGAGACCAGTACCACGAGTCCATCCAATGACAGCTCCGCAAATGGTAAGGAAATTGCCCCAGCTCTCAGAGTGCCATCTGTTAAACAGAGTTTCCAATGCCAACTTGGATTCGGAGTAAAGACCATCATTACCGAATGTTCCGTGATTTGGAGAGAGCGGCAAGACAACTTGAGCAGGTCTAGTCTCGAAACCTCGCTCGAACTTTTGAGTTTTGATACAACCCAAAAGACGGAGAAGATTGGTCAACATGATACGGTGAGCGAGCTCAGATTTCGAGTCGATGCTATCAATCTCACGACCGTTCTCGGGAATGGCAGCGAATGGAATGACATAGTCAAGATCCCATCCAAGACCGGTCTTTGGATCGTAGATATAGTTGATCAAGGCCTCAACGTCTTGTTTGCTACCTTGGTTAAAGGGAACAACAATCAATTGAGATCCTCGGGATCCGTAGCGAGCATACATTGATTGGTAGTACTCGGTGACCTGTCTGGAGAATCGACTGGTGGTTACGACAACCTTAGCGCCACCACTAATCAATCCTTGCAACACATCGGCACCAATTGAGCCAGCTCCGGCACCAGTCATCAAAGCATTCTTGCCTTGGAAAGTGACACCGGATTTAGCAGCCTGCTCTAATCCATCGAGATAGAGACCGGTGAGCTTCTTGCTGTACTCCCAACCATGCTCGTCCTTTCTCTTCAAATGAAGGAATGGAATGGTCTCGACCTTTCCGGCCTTCACATTGCCATTTGCCTTTCCACCATTCATTTTGACTCCGTTCTTCTTGCCATTGCTGTTCTCCTTTGGAATGATTTGTCCTTCACTCATCGCTAATGAGCGGATGACATCACTATAGAGACTCTTGATTTGAAGTTGAGATGCTTTGGAGAGCTTGTGCTGCTGCTTGATCAGCTTGTAGATACGGCCGAGATCGTTCTGGACCTTGGTTCGGTTCCCGTATTCTGAGATCTTTCCTCCATCAGCCATTTCTCGCACATAGTGCTCAAGCTTTCGGACACTAGATCTGGGTATTTCAGCGTAATCAAGATT